ACCCAGGGATATGTGCTGACACTTAACTTTTTTTTTTTTTTTTTTTTGGTTTTTTTTAAGCAGGGTCTCCCTGTAGCCCCAGCTGTCCTGGACTCACTATTTGGACTAGGCTGGCCTTGAACTCACAGAGATCCGCCTGCCTCTGCCTCCCAAGTGCTGGGATTAAAGGTGTGCGCCACCACACCCGGCTCGACACTTTAACTTTTTAAAAGGTGGGACATTCAGTTCCCAGCACCCATATGGTGGTTAACAACCATCAATTCCAGGGAATCTGAGGCCTTCTTCTGACCTCCGCAGCATTGCACGACACGGGTGCACTCACATACATGCAGGCAATACACTCATATACATAAAATAAAAATAATAAATAAAATATTCTTTTAAAAAAGGTGGGTTATAATCCCAGCATTTAGGAGGCTGAGGCAGGAGGATTACAAGATTGAGAATACCCAGGACTACATGGCAAGACCCTATTTCAAAAAGCAAAAGGGAAGGGAATGAAAACATGTTTGCTGAAACACATTTCAGCGAGAGATGGCTCAGCGGTTAAGAGCACTGACTGCTCTTGCAGAGGACCTGGGTTTGATTCCCAGCACCCACATGGCAGCCAACAACTGTCTTTAACTCCAGTTCTAGGGGATCCAATGCCCTCTTCTGACCTTTATGGGCACTGCACAACAAAGGTGCACTTACATACATGCAGGCAATACACTCATACACATAAAAAAAAATTTAAAAAAAGAAAGAAAATATGTTTGCCTAGATAGAGAGTAGGAACTAATTAATGCCAAGCACAGTGCTGTGTGTCTGTAATCCCAGCATTTTCAGGAGGCTGAAGCAGGAGAATCACAAGTTGAAGGCCAACCTAGGCTCTATAGTAAGTAAAATCCTGTCTCAAAAAACAAGTGTATGCCTGGGCAGGCTAGTACACGCCTTTAATCCCAGCATTTGGGAGGCAGAGGCAGGCGGATCTCTGTGAGTTCAAGGCCAGCCTGGTCTACATAGTGAGTTCGAGGATAGCTGGGGCTACAGGGAGACCCTGGCTCAAAAAGACCCCCCCCCCCAAAAAAAAACAAGTTCTAGAGGGGGCTGGAGAGATGACTCAATGGGTAAGAGCACTGGCTGCTCTTTCAGAGGACCCAGGTTCAGTTCCCAGCACCCACATGGATGCTAACAATCATCTGTAACTCCAGTTCCAGGGGATCTAATGCCCTCTTCTAACCTCCAAGGGCATTGCATGAACAAGTCAACTTACATACATGCAGGTAATACACTCATACACATAAAATAAAAACAAATTGTATTTTTTTGTTATAAGTAAATTAGGTTTCAGTAATTATAAAGAAATGCTATAATCTATAATCTATAGTTAAAACCAAGGGTGTGGAGACTCAAAGCTAAGAGAGAGAGAAATTAAACCCCATAAGAAATGCCTCAGTCTGGGGCTGGAGAGATGGCTCGGCGGTTAAGAACACTGACTATTCTTGCAGAAGATCCGGATTCAAATCCCAGCACCCACATGGGCATTTGGAAAATCAGAAAATTGGGTTCCTATCTGAGCCAGGCTTCTCTTCCACAGATAAAGGAATAACTTATGTGGTTTAAAAATTATTACACTTCGGGGCTGGAGAGATGGCTCAGTGGTTGGGAACTCTGGTTGTTCTTGCAGAAGACCCAGGTTCAAATCCCAGCACCCACATGGCAGCTAACAACTGTCCGTAACTCCAGTTCCAGGGGATCCGACAGCCTCTTCTGACCTCTGTGGGCATTGCACAACACGGGTGCACTTACCTACATGCAGGCAATACATGCATACACACAAAATTTTAAAAAATAATAAAAGTTTAAAAAGTTATTACACTTAATTGTGTGTATTTGTATGTGTTGAGGCACATGCCTTGTGTGTAGAGGTCAGAGGACAAGTTGCTGAAGTCTGTTGTCTCCTTCCACCATGTGGTGCTGAGGAATGAACTCAGGGTGTCAGGCCTGTCAGTGTCTTTCCCTGCTGAGCCATCTCACCAGCCAACAAGAGTTTGTTTTTTGAGTCAGAGTCTTAATGTAGCTTAGGGTGATCTCAGTCTTTTCAGCCTGCTAAGTGCTAGGATTGTTGGGATGAATAAAACTTTTTTTTTATGTATATGAGTGTATTGCCTGCATGTGTGTAAGTGCACCCATGTGGTGCAAGGCAATGGAGGTCAGAAGAAGGCGTCAGATCCCCTGGAACTGGAGTTACAGATGATTGTTAGCCACCATATGGGTGCTAGGAATTGAACTCGGGTCCTCTTTCTTTCTTGGCTACTTGGAATTCACAGTACAGCCCAGCCTGGACTGGAACTTAAAGCAATCCTGTCTTTGCCCAAGAACAGGGATTACAGGTGCATATCACCACACCCAGCTAAAATGTTTCTCATTAGAGCTATGGAGATGGCTATTAAGTAAAAGGCTTGCTGTAAAATCACAAGGACCTGAGTTAAGATCCCCATAACCCATATAAAAAGCCAGCGGTGGCAGTATATTCCACAACCCCAGTTCTGGGGGACAAAGACAGGTAATTCCTGATGCTCATTAGCCGGCCAGCTTACCTAGCTGAATCCATGAGCTTCAGGTTCAATGAGCAACCCTGTCTCAAAAAAATAAAAGTGGAGCCAGGTATAGACATGTATACCTTAATCCCAGCACTCCAGAAGCAGAGGGAGAGGCAGATGAAGGTCAGTGAGTTCAAGACCAGCTGTTCTATATAGAGTTCCAGGTCAGCCAGGGCTACATAGTGAGACCCAGTCGCAAAAACCAAAATAAATTAATAAAGGTGGAAAGCTATGAAGACATTGGCATTCACCTTCAGCCTACACACACACACACACAAGAGATGGGGGGAGGGGAGAGAGAGAGGAGAGAGAGAGAGAGAGAGAGAGAGAGAGAGAGAGAGAGAGAGAATCTACACTAACAAGTATATACCACATACACATACAATTTTCTTTAATTAAAAAAAATTCATATTTGGATGAGTGTTTTGCCTGCATGTATGTTAAGTGCCCCACATGTATACAATGCCTGCAGAGGCCAGAAGAGGGCATCGGATCTGGATCCCCTGGAACAGTTACAGACTGTTGTTAGCTGCCATGTGGGTGCTGGGAACAGAGCTTGGTTCTTCTGCAAGAGCAGCCACTGTTCTTAACCACTGAGCCACCTCTCCAGACCCACAAATGTATTTTAAAAGTCCCAAAAGAGTAGTCATCAAACTATTACCATGCTAGAAGGAAGTTATATATCCACTACATGGTAAAGTAAATCTAGTTTCAATAAGCATTTGTTAGTTTTTAAAAATATTTTATTTTTATTTTATGTGTATGAGTGTATTGCCTACAAGTATGTAAGTGTACCCGTTTCATGCAATGCCCATGGAAGCCAGAAGAGGGCATCAGATTCCCTGGAACTGGAGTAAGACTGTTAGCTGCATGTGGGACCACAGCCAGGTCCTCTGCAAGAGCAGTCAGTACTCAACCGCTGAGCCTTCTCTCCAGACCCAAATTGTTGTTTTTTTAATATATTTTTTAATATTTTATTTTTATTTTTTGGTCTTTTTGAGACAGGGTCTCCCTGTAGCCCCAGCTGTCCTGGAACTCACTATGTAGACCAGGCTGGTGCTACAGGAGATCAGAAGAGGGCTTTGGATTCCCCTGGAACTGGAGTTAAGGACGGTTTTGTAGCTGCCATGTGGGTGCTGGGAATTGAACCCAGGTCCTCTGCAAGAGCAGTTGGTGCTCTTAACCGCTGAGCCATCTCTCCAGTCCATTTTTTAAACATTTTTATTTTATGTGTATGAGTGTTCTGCCTGCATATATGTAAGTACACAATATATGTGCAGTGCTGTGAGAAGGGCATTGGATCCTCTGGAACTGGAATTAGAGTTTGTTGTAAGCTGCCATATGGATGCTGGGAACTGAACCCAGATTCTCTGCAAGAAAAGCAAGTGCTCTTAGAAAAAGCAAGAAAAGCAAGAAAAGCAAGAAAACCACAGAGTCATCTCTCCAGCCCCTGACTTCAGTTTGATATATGTTACTCAGGTGCCCTACCACTAAACCATACCATTAGTCCCTAGGACTGACTTCATTTCCTGTTTGAGGAAGGTGAAATTGGGGTTGAGGAGCTGCAAGTCTGGAGCAATGATAGACAAATTTTCTGTAAAGGATTACTCCTACCAGGGAGTGAATTTTAGGCTTTAAAGGAAATACAGTCAGCCACTTCTGCATAAAAGGAGCCATAGACAGCACATAAAGGAATTGTGGCAACACAGACAATTGCTGACCTCTGGTCTATAGCAGTGGTAGGTTTCTGGCTGCAAATGGAAATCACTAGAGCAGCCCATAAAATCACAAATGCCTGGCTTCTTTTGAGGCCCAAGATTTTTTTCTTCTTCGTCCTTTGTTTTTGAAACAGGGTCTGTCTCACTGTGTAGCCCTGGCTGGTCTAGAAATCTTGGTCTGTAAACCAGGTTGGCCTCAAACTTACAGAGATCCACCTGCCTCTGCCACCAAAGACCTAGGATTAAAGGCATGCGTAACACACCCAGCTTCTTTTAACACAGGATCTATGTAGCCCAGGCTAGTCTTGAACCTGTGATCTTCCTGACTTAGCCTCCCAGGTACTGGGATTATAGACATGCACCACCACACAACTAGTAAACTGCTTGCTTTTGTTTGTTTTTGAGATAAGGTCTTGCTGTACTGCCTAGACTGGCCAGGAACTGAATTCCTCAACCTCCTAAGTAGCTGAGACTGGACACACTTAGCTCAGAGATTTTTTTAAGTTACTAGGGATTCTGATGTGCATTCTGGGCTGGAAACAGCTGTTGTAGGGCAACTGCAGTTGTTTGGCAAACTGCTGTAATTTGGGTAATAGAGGGATGAGTGCTGGGAAGACAAATGATCCAGGGGCTAAACTGAGGTCTAGAGTAATGAAAGAACCATGTTTGGCCCACCTGACAAACTGAATGCTTCTAATACTTTGATTAAATGCTCTTTATTTGAGATTTTTGTGTACAGAGCACCATAAGGACTTGCCCAGCTAGCAAGGGGGCCATAGGAATTGGAACACCCAGCAAGCTACCTTCTACCTAGCCCTCCTTCTCCAGCCACTCCTTATAGGCCCCAGCGTAGTTTCGAGCCCTGTGGAGAGAAAAGGTGGTGAGGGAAGGACAGGTCCAGTAGGCAGACCCCAGTCACTGCCCAGCAAGCAAGCCTTACACCTTGCCGTACCCTGTGTATCCAAGGCCCTGTGCCAACTGTGTGGCCTGCAAGCCTCGCTTGCCCATCTGACAAAAGAAAACAAGATTCTCGGCTTCCCGCTTTGGCTTCTCAGCAGAGTACAAAGCCTGAAAAGCAGCTGGGTCCATCTGCAGGGCACTTTCCAACTCAGACACTGAGAAGGGACAAAACAGAAAACCAGTGGTACATTCAGGTTCAGAAAATGAGCCTCAAAGAGCTGAGTCCTGGTGGGGGGCCAAATCTGAAGAGAGTCTCAAAACAGCAGATAGGTGCCAGCTCCTACCCAATCCCAGCCCCAAGGACAAGGAACAGCCTACCAGTGCAGAAAGTCAGGCAAACAATGCAGCCACTTCTTGAGTCCTGAGGAGGCACTGGAGAATCCAGTGGACTGGGACGTCCAGCCTCGGGGAGGTCAAGCTATGTGGCTGGTCTGTCCTTCTGGCTACCTGCTATCCCCTCCAACTGGATAGGCTAGTTCTGCTGCCAGGTTCCACCTCCATTCAGCTTTTATCTAGGGAAGCTGAGGGCTGACTTGAGCAAATGTAAGGCTGCCCCAATCCCCACCAGTACCTTCCCCACTCCATCCTAAGTGAAGTCCCTTTAGCTAAGACTCCCCCCTCTTCCAACACAGGAAATTCCACCGCAATCCCATACCAGGGATGTTGAGCGCCCCAGGGATGGTCCCAGCTGCTGCCTCCTCCCGAGATCGAACATCGAAGAGCTGAGCCCTGCCTGAGGCTAGGAGCAAGCGGAGTTCAGGGAGCGAGACTGTGGGCACTGAGGGAGAGGGTACGCTTCAGGGGAGAGGAACTATTAGACACCTGCTGCCTCTGCCCCCTCCACTGAGCCCCCTCACCTGGAAGCTTCCCAACCCAGGGAGTTAACAGGACTGCAGCCACACCCCCTGCTCCTCCTTCTATAGAGCTCTACCCAGAGGACCAGCTTGCACAAACCCTCTCCCCACACCCCAAGTCCCAGGTTTCCCTCTCAGGTACCTCTAGCCATGGCGCTCCAAGCAACTGTGAGATGCAAGATGCAGCCCTCTCTTCCTTCCTCCCTCCCTCCTGTGCCCAACCAGGAGACCGGAACAGGAAGCAAAGGCATGATCTCTGCACAAACCCCACAGCACCAGTAGGTGATTCCTCTAACACCAACCCACAGGAGGAACACTTAAAAGATTGCCCAGTGTGGGCCAGAAACAACACCCAGGTTTGGCACAGGTACCAGGACTTGGGATAATGAGTATAGGAACAGTGCACCCCACCCAAAGGTTGACCCAGTCCTTACTGGTCAAAGGGTAATATACCCGCTCCCTTCCCCCAGGGCCCCACAAAAGGAGGAAAAGTAGACAGCTGTAGCTCTGAACAATTTTATCTTTAAAAAAAAAAGGAAATAAAAAGAACCATCCCCAGATGGGGAAAGGCCCCAAGTGAGCCCCTGCCTATTGCTCTCCCACCTTCAGAAACTTCTGCATAGGCCTCAGCTGCTTGCCGGCCCCTCTCCTTTTCATGGGACAGCAGCCACTAAACATCCTTCCCCCACCTCTTGAATAAGCTTGCTCCCCAGAGTCATTAGGTGCATATATATGTCAACCTTGGCTCCAGGGAAAGGAAGAACCAGTGGAAGCGTCAGACCCACAGAGTCCACAGACCCTCTGCTGGGCACTCTAAGCAAGCACAGGGCAAGCCTCCATTTAGTGTGTCCAGTGTCCATCATGGAGACAGCACATGCAGTGTTCAAGAGGAGCACAAGGGCCCAGGGATGCATGGTGAGGGTGGGCAAGGCTTCGGTACATGTCCACTGTGTTCATACCACTCACTGCAGGCTGCCACACTACAGGGCCTCAGTTCATAGACATGCCTGCGAAACTCCCCCAGTCCCATGCCAGAAGTAGACAGTGGAGAAAAGGGGCACCAGATTAGCCTGTTTCTCCTGGGCTATCCACGGTTCTTAGTCCCAAAGCCCATGAATCCCCATAGTTAGTTGCTGTCATTCTTGATGACGACCTCTAATCCATGATGCCGCAACTGTGCTCGTAGTAGCAGATTCTTGTTTTTAAGATCTTCCACCTGACAGGGAAAGAGGCAATAAGGGGAATGGGTAGAAGAAAACTGTCACTGCCGAGCCTATGACCTTAGTCACACACCCACTGGTGAGAAGGAAAATGTGAAGTGTTCTCTAGGGAGTCCCAAACTGGGTCAGTGGCTACAGGGCTGCCAAGAGGCCTATTAGAGTCTGACCTGCTGTCGAAGCACATCATTGTCCAGCTGCAGCTGATCTAGCCCTTGCAGTTCTTCAGACAACCGGTGGTTACTCTGCCGAAGCTCCTGGATATAATCACAGGCTTTGGATAGAATTCCACCTTTACTCTGCAAAATAAAAAAACTCACAAAATGAAGACTAAGGCTTAAGGGATCTAGCGCATATTCCCAAAAGCATAGTCACACTTTGGGCCTCAGTTTCCCCTGAGAATGGTGATGTAACATCTCAGAGAGATGTTATGAAAATACTATCAAGTATACCCCACTCTCCACCATTTCTGGAAAAATACCAGGAGACAGAATTCAGGCCTCCTGCCCACTACCAGGGTCTTTCCATGACCTGGCCAGACTTGGTGCTCTCCATAGAGCAGTCTGGGATGATCTTGGACAACTGCACAATCCAGTTGTTGATCTTGTCTCGGCGGCGGCGCTCCACTGTGGGGCAAAGTGAAGACAGAGTGACTCAGTGAAAATTCACCACAAGCCCTAGGGTAAAATGACCAACCCTTCTTCCCCTCACTCACCACTACTGTCCCCAATTCCACTAGGTCACTCTAGCTTCACACCTGGATCTTGCCTACCTTCATTATGCTGAGCCCTGCGTTTCTCATCTCGTGTTGTTCGAGGAGCCTCCGACTTCCTGACAACAGGGCCCAGGGTGGCCAGAGCAAGGAATAAAAAAAAATATGACTGGCATTTAGGATGAATTATACCATATTTAGAAGGCATTAAAATCACTCATAGTAACCAAGAAGAGATAAAGGTCACTCACGGGGAATAAGGGTGGGTCCTGGGGGCAATTGAGCGCTGGCTTCCTCCCTGTAATACTTCTTGTGGTGACATCATCACAAAGAATTGACCTGTGAAGATGAGAAGTAGTTTCCATGCCCTAGCACCCTTCTCTGAGAACACGTTCCCTCCTGCTCGTAGGGCAGCCCCAGACTCACATCCCATAGCCTAGTCCCTTCTACCATTTTGTGTAGTATCTCACCAGTGCTGGGAGGGGTTGCCTGCCCCAGTAGTGCCTCTGAGCCCTGGGTAGTAACGACAGCAGTGGTACTCCCAGATGTGGTACCTCCTGCCCCATCTCCCACTGCGGTGCTGGGAAAGTAAGTATAGTGTGTCTCAGCAGCTGTCCCCTCTGTGTCAACTGCATCATCACTGGTGAAAGCACCCTGGATCACCGCCTGGGAAGAGGAACAAGAGCAGAGCAATACTTACTCCCACTCTACCACTCTCAAGTTTCTATCCCTTAACAGAAGGAAGGGAAACATTTAGAAAAACAGATTCTAGCAGGTATGTCTAACCTGTGGCGCATGAGCCACATGCAGCCAAAGATAACTACGAACGCAATCCAACACAAAATTGTAAACTTACCTAAAAGATCATTAGATTATTTGTGAATGCTTTTTGTAAGATGATTGTTTGGTTTGTTTTTTCTTTTTATAAAATTTATGTATGTGTGCCATGAGTGTGCCCATGAAAGCCAGAAGAGGGTGTACGATCCCCTGGAGATGGAGTTACAGGTACCTGAGTCACCCAACATAAGATGCTGGGATCCCAAATCTTCTGTAAAAGCAGTACTGACTTTTAATTACTGAGCCATTTCTCCAACCCTCCCCCCTTAAAGATTTATTTTTTATTTTATGAGTGTTTTGCTTACAGAGGTCAAAAGAGGGTGTTGGAACTCCTGGATCCTTTGCAAAACCAGCAAGTGCTCTTAATTGTGGAGTCATCTCTTCAGTAGATTGCATGGTGTTGAGTGTGAGGTTGGTCATATCTGGCCTTAGCACCTTGAGGCAAGGTAGCCTGAGATGTCCCACTGCTCCTAATTCTATCCTCCCCCACTGGTTCCCTACTTCCTCTTATTGTTCAGAGCCCTAGTGCCCTCCCCAACCTGTTCCCCCCTCTACCTGGGTCATAGATTGAGTGGCAGGGTAGCCACTGATGGCACCAGTGCCCTCAGTCTGGCCATCCAGCTGCCCCTCAGACACCTGGATCACTCTGTACATCACCTAGAAGCAAAGAAGAAGGGAAGACAGAAGAGTAAATGCTAAGAGTCCCAGGGCTTCTCAGAAAGTGTTCCTTGGGTTGAGTCCCAAGAGGTTTTTCAGAGACACAGTTTGAGCCCTTGTCTCCTTTCCCCATTTTGAGGCTTCAGCACACTCCATACCAATCTCTATTTCAAGCCTATTAACCTTTCACCCCAATAGTTAACGGTTTCAACTCATCATCCAAGCCACAGCTCCCCAAAATATGTTCAGGTACCACCCTTAATCGCAACCCCAGGTAACACCTGCAGCCACCTGGCCCCCTCCCTTACCTGGCCCCCATTCTCAGTTCGGAAGACGTACTTGACGTTGGGGTCAGGGAAGGTGGCAGCTGACTGGATGCTGGCGATAGCCACACTAGTTGGGTCCTCCCCAGTAGCCACTGCACCTAAATTAAAAGAGACAAGGAAAGGTCTGTGGGTTAATGTGACTGTGACCTGTATGCCACTTAAAAGATGCATGGTATACAGGAGATGGGCCAGTGAAGGAAGAAGGGCATGATGGGTACTTGTTCTTGATTTTAACATTCACCTTCCTGAATCTGCACTGTCCCCTCTTCCGTTTCAGCTGTTTTCTGCTGCCTGTTTGTGGTTTAAAAAAAAAAAAGACAAAGAAAAGATGCTCATTGGCTTAATAGCATAAGACTCCTAAAGTCATTGGCATTCACAACAGATGTTGGGTTAGGTTGCAATAATAACTAGTATTTATTGTTTACCATGTACACAGACACAAGGCTATAAGCATTTAATATGTACTATCTTAATACTTCATTGCACATGAAGTAAATAGCACTACTTCCATTTTATAGATAGGGAAACCAAATCACAGATCTGGTTAAGTGATGAAGCTGGGACCTGAATCCAGGCCTGCCTGAATCCAGAGCTCTCGGCATTTTGCATTCTCCCAGGCCTTCCTTCTCTTACCCAGACACTGCTTCTTTACTCACCCCTTCATCTCTCTGTGAGGGGGCTCATCCGAGGAACTGGTCCTTTTCTGGAGGTCTTTGTATCTCCTGACTCACAGGCCTGAGTGCTAAATCCTGGTAGAAATCATGGAGTTTGCTGTGAGTCTAGGCAACTGAATAGCTTCTCAGGTTCTACAACTACGATCCATGAAGACATAGCCAGGAGAATAAACCAATCACCCACAGGGGATGGTCAGCTTCCCCCATTCCAATGCCAAAGATTGGCCTGCAATCGTTGAAAAAGCAAATCTTGCTGGAAATGGTGGCTCACTTCTGGAATCTCAACACTCAGGACACTGAGGCAGGAGGACTGATACAAATGTGTGGCTGGCCTTGGCTAGAGAGTGAGTTCTAGACCAGGCTGGGCTCAAACTGAGACCAGAGAGAGAGAGAGAGAGAGAGAGAGAGAGAGAGAGAGAGAGACAGGGAGACACCAACCAGGTCTGGTGGTACATGCCTGTAATCCCAGCAATTAGGAAGTAAAAGCAAGAGGACCAGAAGTTCAAGGCCATCCTGAGGCTAGCAAGTTTGAGGAGCTTGGGCTACAAGAACTTGTCTTTTAAAAAATACATGAGGGGCTGAAGAGAAGGCTCAGAGGTTAAGAGCACTGACTGCTCTTGCTGAGGACCCAGGTTCGATTCCCAGCACCCACATGGCGGGTATGAACTGTCCTTAACTCCAGTTCCAGGGGAATCCAAAGTCCTCTTCTGACCTCCATGGCATTGCAGGACACGGGTGCACTCATATACAGGCAGGCAATACACTCATACACATAAAATAAAAATAATAAATAAAAAAATTTTTAAAATTGGCTAGCCGGGTATGGTGGCATACACCTTTAGGCCCAGCACTCGAAAGGCAGAGGCAGGCAGATATCTGAGTTCAAGGCCAGTCTGGTCTACATAGTGAGTTCCAGGCCAGCTGGGGCTACAGGGAGACCCTGTCTCAAAAAGACCAAAAAAAAAAGGGGGGGGGCCTGAGATAACTCGGGTAAAAATGCTTGCACTGCAGGCCTGGCAACCTAAGTTCTAAAACCTACACAAAAACGGGATGCAGCAGCACAAGCATCTGTAATCACAGAACTCCCTACAGGGAGAAGAGAGGCAGAGGAGGGAGAGAAGCTGCAGAAGCTCAATGACGAACGCAGAAATCTCAAACAAGGTGGAAAGGAGAAGATAGACACCAGAAGGCTGTCCTCTGACCTCTACACACACACTTTGGCACAAAAGCACCTGCACTCACGCACATAAAGAAGTGTGTGCACGCATACACACACGGAAAAAAAAGAAAAGAAGCAGGCTGGTGAGGTGGCTCAGCAAGTAAAGGTGCTCACCATCAAGGCTGATGACCCGAGTTTGATCCCTGGAACCCATCCAACGGAAGGAGAGAACCAACTCCTGCAAGTTGACCTCTGACCTCCACATGTGCCCTGTGACACAGGAATACTAACACAAAATAAGGTTGTTGTTTTTTTTGGGGGGGGGGGGGGTGGTGGCAGGTAGCACACACCTTTAATACCAGCATGTGAGAGGCAGAAGCAGGTGAATCTTTGTGAGATCTATGCCAGCCTGGAATACATAATGAGTTCCAGGCCAGCTTATGACTACAGAAGACCGCCTCAAACAAAACAAACATTTTTTTTTGTTGTTGTTTTATATCATTTTTCAAATAACATTCTTTGCTTCTCCATCACCACTTCAGCTGGTGGGAGGAAACAATTATACTGGAACACTGAGAAACAGTGTATTTTTGGCTGAATTATTAAAACTGTTAACGTCGCTGGGTATGGTGGTGCACACCATTAGTCCCAGCACTCGAGAGGCAGAGGCAGGCAGATCTCTGTGAGTTCAAGGCCAGCCTGGTCTACACAGTGAATTCAGGCCAGCTGGGGCTACAAGGAGACCCTGTCTCAAAAAGACAAAAAAAAAAAAAACAAAAACCCAATGTCTTCTTAGTAAGGCTATTATGATCTATAACAGCAACTTCATGGGGATTAGACTGGTCATGTTTTGACCACCCATCATGGTCTTGGAGACATTTTCCAGCTTCTCAGACACAAACTATACAATAAGAAATTCTTCTTGGGGAGGGGTCAGCCTGGAGAGATTGTTCAGTGGTTAGAGCACTGGCTGCTCTTGCAGAGGACCCAGGTTTGGTTCCCGGCACCCACATGGTAGCTAACAACCATCCTTAACTCCAGTTCCAGGGGATCTGACACCTTCTTCTGGCCTCTACATGACACAGGTATACTTACATATATGAAGGCAGGCAAAGCATTCGTACACATAAAATACATAAATACATAAATTATTATTCTTTTTTTTTGTCTTTTTGAGACAGGGTCTCCTTGTAGCCCCAGCTGTCCTGGAACTCATTATGTAGACCAGGCTGGCCTTGAACTCACAGAGATTTGCCTGCCTCTGCCTCCCGAGTGCTGGGATTAAAGGCTTGTACCACCACGCCCAGCCATAAATAATTTTTAAATTTTATTTATTATTTTTATGTGTGTGAGTGTATTGCCTGCATGTATGTGACTGCACCCGTGTTGTGCAATGCCACAGAGGTCAGAAGAGGGCTTTGGATTCCCCTGGAACTAGAGCTAAGGATGGTTCATAGCTGCCATGTGGGTGCTGGGAACCAAATCAAGGTCCTCTGCAAGAGCAGTCAGTGCTCTTAACCGCTGAGCCATCTCTCCAGTCCCAATAATAAATTAAAAAAAAATAAAGTATTGGGGCTGGAGAGATGGCTCTGTGATTAAGTGCACTGGCTGCTCTTGCAGAAGACCCAGGTTCGGGGTTCGGTTCCCACCTCCCACATGGTGGCAGCCAACAACCCTCTTTAATCCCAGTTCCGGGAAATCTGATGCCCTCTTCTGGCCTCTGAGGGCACTGCACACATGTGGTGCACTTCCGTACATGAAGGCAAAACATTCATACACATAAAGATGAATAAATAATTTTTAAAATTCTAGTCCTCAAATCTAGGAAGGGAAAACCATTACTAATCATAAAACCTAGATTGCACCCTTGAACGCCATTGTACTGAGGTGGGGGGGGTTGTTGTTTATATCATCTGTTACAAATTCTAAAGCCCAAGTGTATCATGGTCAAGCGTTATTTTATTCATCAAGACTTCCTGTAGAGCAACACAGTTGCTAAATGTTACCATGACAACTCCAAATCAACTAAGCCACAGGAGGAAGGAGGTAAAAAAATCCAGGCTCAGGGTTCTAATGGAGAAAAGACAATGGGGAAGAATCCTGCCTTAGGCTCTTGACACCCAGCCAAAGAACAGGAAAAACAAAGAACAGAGCAGACAGATGCCTCCAGAAAGAAACAGTTGCACAGTACACAGCTGTAAAATAATCAACAGGAAAGGGGCAAGATTTTTGTAAATTCTCTCCCCATAATGCCCTCCAAACCTTCCTAATCCAAGGAAATCTTAGCGGATAAGCATGGAAAAGCCCATGTCCAAGGAAAATGGTAGCAACAACAAAAAGGAACTGAAACTGAAACTGTTCGTACAAAGTAATGCTGCCAGGAACTCCCACTCTCTAAGGGGAAGTAGCATCAGTGTTTTGGGACTACCTAGGTCTCCATACTCAAACCTGAGTAGGAAGTGCCCCTCCCGAGGCTTGTAGCACTGCCTGCAGGAGGAGGCAATAAAGAGGAGGCAAGGAAGGCACAGGGAGGCAGTTGTATTGCCCACAGCTGTCAGTGAGAGGCAGCTACAGAGGCCACCCAGCAACCGGGTTAGGCTACTTACTCAAATCTCGGGTTGTACATCCGGAAGCATTTCCTGAGCTTTAAGAATAGGTGATACGGAAATCGGGATTGGATGTTGTGGCTTGCACGCTCAAGAGGGCCCAGCAAACGCCCTTGCTAAGCATGGACTCAGAAAAAAGATCAAGTCCCAAAAGAATTCAGGCACCAGGACCTTGCTGAGAGTGAGGCGTCTCCCTGGTCTCCCTGCAGGCCCACCAGCTAGACCGAGGCGCTTGGGGGGCTGAGCACCGGCCAGACGCGAGCCCCGAAGCCCGCGTGGTGACCCGGCCAATCCGACCGCGCTCGCCCCGCGCCCCAGCTGCTCGGCAGGAGCCCAGGAAGGACGCAGGGACCCCGGGGCCTGCGGCCCGCAGCTGCGACCTGCGGCTAGACAGCGCAGGAGGGAGGGGATGTGCGCACTCCGGAGCGGGGAGCAAGGTTGGCCCACAAAGCAGGGCAGCAGATAAAGAACCAGGCACGGCCCCCTCCCCCAAAACAAAGGCTTCCTGCCCAGCACTTCCCTAACCTGAAAAAGGAGCAAAACCAAAGCTGCCCCGCCCGGCCGATTCACCCAGTCTCCAGACTCCTGCCGGGTCCTGACACTCACCGCTCAAAGCCGCTTCAAGTCGCCAATTCCCCACCGACAGCGTTCTCCCTCTAAGGACCCAGGTATCCCCATAGACAGCTGCTCATGCGCAATCCCAGCCTGCGGCCATGTCGGTGAGGGGCGGAAGTATCTTTTCGACCCGCCCTGCCTACTAATAGTCCCTGAACTGCCCTGTTTCCGTTCCTCCAACATAATAAGGGCTAAAGAATGCATAGGTAGTTTTCACTGACTCCGAAGAGAAGCAGTATGCTGGGGGATATCCCAGGGGTCCTAGCTATTTTCAGCAAGAACAAGAGAAATCCGACTTATTTTTACTTCCATCTTTGTGCTAGGCGGAGCCTTTTTTAGTCACACTGAAAGGAAGTGGAGAAACGGAGTTCTGGAGCGCCATCTTTAACAAGGGCAACTTGGAATGCCATCTTGAATCAGGGTATCATTTTGAGGGATTTCTAAGTGGACATCAGGATGATTCTGGATATAGGTAAATCTACCTGGGTATCGTCCTTTGTATTAGCGACATCAGCCCCTCACCCAAAGACCCACAGGCTTCCACTTTTTCCGAGGCTCATAATATCTGTGACAATTTTGATTCACATTCTCATTCAGAATGTACCTTTCATGGTTTTGGAGTACTAAGGAATAGTTGCAAGAATTCAGACCCTGGAACCATTCAGACCCCGGTCTTAAACACACACCCCCACCCCGCTGCCACTTCTTAACTCTATCTTTGATAAGCATTTTTACTTAATTAGCCCTTCTTAATTTCTCCACCTGTGAAGTGGAGATACCAGTACCAACTTCATCAAATTATTATATGGATTAAATAAAATCAAGGACAAAGTTTATGTACACAGAAATATAGCCCAATTCCTGGCATTAGATGAACATTATGTAAATACAAGTTTCTCTTCCCCATTTCTTGACCACCATGAACCCAGTTCTACTTTTCAGCCACTGGTTTCCATGACAACTGAGGAAGACTATCCAAACAAGAACGAGTGAGGCATACATTTGGCCACATGAAAATGTGATACCTTTTACCCAAAACTTCAATAAGTCCCCACAACATTTAAATGTAAAAATACAACTTTTATTATGAGACAGTCTATGGCCTCAGCCTGTGTGAAGAGCTAGTGCAGGGCCAGAGTGATGCCATTCTCTTTTCCTAAAATGAGAAGAAATCATTCTAATGGTAAAAAGAAATGCCAGAGAGATCTGTCCAGGACTTCTGCAAATTAATTGAAGGGAAGAGATGTCATCCATTTCCTTCAGCAAACACTGAGGACTTGAAAGAACTTCTTGAACATGTTTCTCCTGATCTGGAGCTAAGAGAGTCAGGGGATATTCAAGGATCTAGGAACAAAGCAGGATGGGCAGATTCTACATCTGGCCCTGTGTCCCCACCTCTACCTTAGGCTTCCCTTAAGAGAAGTTCACAGCCTCGGAAGAGGGCAGGAGTTTGGCTGGAATTCTCCTCTGTATTTCACTTTGAGAAACCTCTTGAGTTTTCTACCTACTCCATGCTTCTTTTGGTTGATGACCACAACTTCATGGGAACAAGACCTTTCTGTATTGCTTGGGACTCTATTAAGAGATAAGTGCTTTGTGTCTAAGACAAACTCAAGTAAACCCACCAAGGCAGTGCCTCTCATGGTTAAGACAAGTTGCTAGAGAACCAAACCCCCTGGAATTGGTTTTCAGCTGCTGAAGCTGAAAAAAGACACCTTAGTCAGGGACTCCAGAGATTCAAGATAACTTTATGATTCCTCTTGTCTAGTAAGCTGGTCCCATTCACAGTCCTTCATCTTTCCCAAGGTCACCCTGTGTTTCAAATGCATATGTCCGGCGCTGGGGGGACAGAAGAGGGACAGGGGGATGAAGTTCTCTAGGGGGAAGACTAAGTCGACTCCGGGGTTCAGACTCTTTTGTGCTTTCAGGTGGGAGTTCTAGGCAGCTAAGGGGTCGAGAAGAATGGGCAGGGATCATACTACAAGGAGAGGGTCTAAGGTTGAGGCTATAATCCCCACCCCCAATACAGGTCTGGGTCCGCCGAACTCCCTGAGCCTCAGTCCTCTGGCGTTCCCGGGCCAGGGCCACAGCAGCATCAAAGGAAAGACTACCTCCATTCTTCCAAGTGGATCGGGAAGCACGGGACCCCCAAGCCCTTTCCCCAGGAGTCCCATCAAGCCTACCAGGCCTTGGACATGGGCTTGCAGGTGCCACATGGATCTTGCTACACATTGCACTGGGCATCTTGGCAAACTGTGGTTTGGGAGGTACTACCGGCACAGAGCGGACCTGTCGAACTTGAACTAAGGTGGAAGCCAGGCGCATGCCCACACCACCTGTTGAACCAACTGGACAGGGACACAAATCACATCCCTCAGGGCTGAGCTGTTCCTCAGGTTCCATCACCTCTGGCTCAGGGGGCTGTGGAGAGTCCTGTTCTATCTCAGAAGACTCTGCATTGACCTCTCCCATACTGTCAACCTCCAGGGACTCTACACCTGGCGCTTCAGAGAGGGTTCCCTCTTCAAAATGGTCACCACCAGCACTCTGACCTTCAGCTTCTTCATCTGTACTCCTTTGTTCCTTGCAGACTTCTGCTTGTCCTTCATCTGTCTCTTCTAGACTTCTGTCTTCATGTCCTTGGTCTTCTTTTGCCTTGTGGTCAGTATTCCCCCTCTGACTTTTGACCTCATCCTTTCTGCCTTCCTCAGCCTCTTGTTTATGTACAACCTCCCAGCTCTCCCCAGCAACCAGGTGTTCCTGGGCTGTATGCTCTAGATGCATTCCAGCTTTTGCTGGGGATTCCTCTCCTTTCTCAGCCTCTTCTTTTCTCTCCATCTTTCTTTCCTTCTTGTCTTTACCCTGTTCTCTTCCTGTTTCCTCCATATCCTTAGCCTCCTCTCTATTTTCAACCTCTTGACATTTGGAATTTTCTTCCTTGGCCTCTGTCTCTTCACTGCTCCCTTCTTCAAAACTCACCTTTACCTCTTGGCTTCCTTCAGCTTCCCTTCCCTCCTCACCAGCCTTTCTAACCACCATCTCTATCTCTGGAATTGCCTCTGCCTCTTCCCTGTTTTCTGATGTGCTTCCAGGCTCAGCCTCCTCCTCCCCAGCTTCCCAGCCCATCTGCCCTTCTTCAGCCTGTGTGGGAGATTGTCTCCCACACTTTGCTGCCCCTTCCTCCAGACTCTCTACATCCTCCCAGTTCATGGGTTTAGGCCCCAGAAGGGGACTTAGATCATCATAGGCACTCAAGAAGACTTCTTCCCCATTTTCTTCTTCCACTTCAGGTGTGGGGCCAGCAGAATCCAGGGAACAGCAGCTGGGAGCCAGGACATACTGTGCCTCATCCAGAGACAGATCATCCAGGGGTGGCTCCACCGAGAACTCCTCCACCTGTAAGTATAGCATTGTGACTCAGGACCAGGTAGCCCTGTCCACTCTTTGGACTCCATACCACCCACAAACCCAGCATGACTTTTCCTTACCTGAGGCCCAACTCCCAGGAGCTCCTCCAGGTAGCCCATCCCAGGGTCGTCCTCCCCAAGGGAGAAAGCTGCTCCTGCTGCTCCTGCCTTGGCCACCTCCCCATCCTCCACCCCCACCCACTCGGGCTCTGAGCTGCTTGAGTCCTCTAGGAAGGAGAAGGAATCCTGCACCTCCTGGGACAGGGAGTCCTCCAGGGCAGGAGTCATGTCTGCTGGGTCCAAGTTAGCCAGGGGACCTGGGACTGAGCTTGCCTCCAACTTCTCATCTGTTAAGGAAAAGGCAGTTCCAGGAATACAAAAATTGAGGTCAGTCCTGACCCTTTCCAATATGGGTCTTCCTAGCATTTATATGATAGGAACCCAACATTCCCAGCATATAATAGATAGTCTACATGACTCATCCTCCAAGACTAATATGCCTAACTATTTATAGCTATCTTTATAAATTCTCTACCATGTGCCAAGCATTGTGTTCATAAGGTAGCTTGCCTTGCAAACATGAGGACCTGAGTTTGATCTCCAGAACCTGTGTAAAAAGAAACTGGGTGTGGAAGTGTGCTTTTATGATCTCAGTGCTGGAGAGGGGGAGGCAGGCAGATTCCTGGAGATAGCTGGCCAACCACCCTAGCTGACTTGGTAAATTCTAGGCCAGTGAAAGATACTATCATAGAAAAAAAAAAAAAAAGATGGACAGTGCCAGAAGAAGACAGTGTCCTCTGGCCCCTACATGCATGTGCACACACATGAAAATGTACCTCTACATACACATATACACACAAAAATAAAGGCAAGAAAGAAAGAAAGAAAGAAAGGAGGAGGAAAAAGAGGAGGAAGAGGAGGAGGAGGGAGAAGAGGAGGAGGGAGAAGAGGAGAAGGAGGAGGAGGAGGAGGAGAAGGAGAGAGAGAGAGAGAGAGAGAGAGAGAGAGAGAGTTAGATAGATGGCTCTAGCACTGGCTGCTCTTCCAGAGGATCTGGGTTTGGTTCCCAGCACCTACGTGGTGGCTCACAACTGTCCATAACTCCAGTTCCAGCTGATCCAATGATCTCTTCTGACCTCTGCAGGTTTGCACACACATGGTGTACTTACATACATGCAGGTGAAACATTCATACACATAAAATAAAAATAAATAATTCAAAAAAAAGAAAGAAAAGGAAATATATTCTGTAGGGTATTATTCCCCCTCCACTTTCTGAGACAGGGCTCATGCATCCCAGGCTGACCTCATACTCACTATGTAGCTGAGGATGTGAGGATGACCTTGAACTTCCATTCCTCCTGCTTCTACCTCCTAATTGTTGGGATTACAGACATGTGCCACCACAACAGGTTTATGTGGTGCTGGGGATCAAACCCAGGGCTTTTTGCATGCTAAGCAACCATTCTACCAACTGAACTATCTCCTCAGCCCCTTACCCCCATTTTTCATATGACGAAACTGATGCTCAAAGAGATTAAGCAGTCTGTCCAAGATCACAAAGCTAAAAAGTAGCACAGCCAAAATTTGAACTCAAACTCACTTAACTCTACAAGCCACATACTTACCCTGTGTCCTATATTGCCTCAGGATTTCTCATTAGTGACACTTTGAGAATAGGAATCAGAGCAAGGATCAGATCCTAGCTTTGTCTCTTCCTCCTTAAATCAGTAGTAAATTGTTTAACCTAACTTTCAGGTTCTACTGCTGTAATATGAGAATAACAATACCTATGCCATCATATTATGAGCAAATGAAATGAGCTCATGCCTGAAGAGTGCCTAACACAGCCCTTGGCACATACTGATAAGTGTTAGCTGTTAATATTAATGTTACAATGAGTTTTAACATCATCTTTTATGCATATCCTCACTTGTACTTAGTAAATCCCTTATGTGTCTGGCACAGATCCCTATTCTTGGGAACATCAGTGACTTGAAAGCTGGCAGAGATCTCTCTGCATGGACTTTATACAACCTGATAATATTACTGAATTCCCCAACTCTGAATTTAGGAAGGCAACTTCAGGAAATTAACCCAAAGCCTGAGTATTGAGGCCTCCGCCCTGCGCAGGCTACATCCCCTGCACCAGAACATCAGCCTAAAGTTCTAGTTTAGAACTTTCTAGCTCTAGACAATCGCTTGATCCTTACCTGGGGGGCCAGGGCCAAGGCCAGGGCCAGGTCCAGGACCAGAGGCAGGGCTTGGCCGGGGCTGGAGGGCAGGGCACTCAAGGCCACGGGTGAGCCTGGCCAAGGAGACGTTAGAGATGATGTTTGGAGGCACACTGAGGATAGAGGTTATGTGTAGTGGAAGGTTGACGTTGTAGGGATCTGAGATGTGGACACCAGCACAGCGCTCTGCACGACTGCTACCCACAGCCCGAGTAGCTGACCGCCCAGCTCGTGGAGTGCCTGGCTCAGAGTTTGTACTACCCAGTGCCTCTGCCTCAGGCTCCTGTTCACCCTCTGCTGCCTCCATAGAATTGTTCTCCACGCTCTCAGGCAACAGTGGATTTGGCCTGGGATTGCTGGGTCCCACCAGCCCCTCAGGCTCTGTGAAAGAGAGAGAGGGCCAGGTAGTCAATAGCCTCACCTCCAAAGGGCCTCGGTAGCTCAGGAGAGGCCTTAACAACTCTGCTTTCTTGAACCTCAGAGGCAGGACAGTCTGGACAGTACCAGGCCCAGCTTCCTTGGCCAGTACTGCAAACTTTCCACCCAGTCAGCAGGGCAAAGTCACTCTATCACACATACCTAGTGGACCCTTTTCCCTCTCTGCAGATACAGCCACTAGCCACCTCTGCCACATACATGCATGTATACAAACACACAGACACACACACACACACACACAGAGTTTCCTTCATGTACAAATACTCATGAATACACTCACAGATTAGAGTGTAAACCTGGAATGTATCTCTGAGGCTGCTGTATAATAGACATTCACTGTTTTTGGAATTATTGGAATCATTTCACCACATTTGTATACACACAGGCCTGTGCTGTTGCTGTCATGGCACATGCACATACACAGCCATCCACACATGTACTCACCGTCACTGACCCCAGCTGCAGCACTCAGTGAATCCATGCTTTTGGCTGGCCGCAGTGTCCCCTTACTAGATTTTTCCTCTGAAAAATATAAATATTCATGGCACCAGGACCTTTCACACCCCCAGCAGAACCCCAGAGCCCCATCCCCCAGACTTACCCCTGTCCTCAGTACCCCGTGGAAGTTTACGTTTTGTCTCATGGCCAGAGCGACCCAAATTGAAGATAGATCTCCACTTCCTGACCTTCAAAGACCCCTTCCTCCTGCAGATAATAGAGATGTGTGGGGTAGAGCCTAACGATCACTGCCAGGGAGGAGAGCCCAGGAAGGAGGCCTTACTTGTGCTCTGCAATCTCAATGATAGTATGGTAGGGCCGGATCTGTGGGGGTCCATCACCAGCCTGTAAAATGCTAGGCAGGTGGTAGGGAAGAGACCTGGGTATGTCGTGATCCTCAGAGCTGCCTGATGCCCGCGTCCCTGGAAGTGATCGCCATCCACTCTCCATATCAGCTAGGAAAAGAAAAAGAATTGGCCAGCCAAGAACAAAGCCAAGAAAGGGATCTCAAGTCCCTAGTTCTTCATTTTCTGCCACATACATGCATGTATACAAACACACAGACACACACACACACACACACAGAGTTTCCTTCATGTACAAATACTCATGAATACACTCACAGATTAGAGTGTAAACCTGGAATGTATCTCTGAGGCTGCTGTATAATAGACATTCACTGTTTTTGGAATTATTGGAATCATTTCACCACATTTGTATACACACAGGCCTGTGCTGTTGCTGTCATGGCACATGCACATACACAGCCATCCACACATGTACTCACCGTCACTGACCCCAGCTGCAGCACTCAGTGAATCCATGCTTTTGGCTGGCCGCAGTGTCCCCTTACTAGATTTTTCCTCTGAAAAATATAAATATTCATGGCACCAGGACCTTTCACACCCCCAGCAGAACCCCAGAGCCCCATCCCCCAGACTTACCCCTGTCCTCAGTACCCCGTGGAAGTTTACGTTTTGTCTCATGGCCAGAGCGACCCAAATTGAAGATAGATCTCCACTTCCTGACCTTCAAAGACCCCTTCCTCCTGCAGATAATAGAGATGTGTGGGGTAGAGCCTAACGATCACTGCCAGGGAGGAGAGCCCAGGAAGGAGGCCTTACTTGTGCTCTGCAATCTCAATGATAGTATGGTAGGGCCGGATCTGTGGGGGTCCATCACCAGCCTGTAAAATGCTAGGCAGGTGGTAGGGAAGAGACCTGGGTATGTCGTGATCCTCAGAGCTGCCTGATGCCCGCGTCCCTGGAAGTGATCGCCATCCACTCTCCATATCAGCTAGGAAAAGAAAAAGAATTGGCCAGCCAAGAACAAAGCCAAGAAAGGGATCTCAAGTCCCTAGTTCTTCATTTCCCCCTTCCTAACTACCAGGCTTAGGATATAGTCAGAGGTACCTGGAGACAATCCTTCCATGTCCAGTTCAAGAGGGTGTTCCCATGAACAAAGAGGGCCAAAAGATTACAAGACATTGGCCTTGGGATCCAGGATGGTGATACAAAGGTCAGTCTACTAGAATGACTGAAGAGGTCTTCTCCAGTCCTAACTCTACTATTATCTCTCCAGTGTCCTTACTATGTAACAGTTGCCCAAAACTCTGTGAGACACAGTTTTCTTATCTCAAAATGAGACAACAAAACTAAGTGACTTTCAAGGTTGCCTACACTTGATCTTGGTCAAAAGGCTGAGAAGAAGTTGAAGCTTTCTATGGCATGATTTCCTCGACAGAGGGTAGTGATATGTAGTGGGCAGAAGGGCACTAACCAGAGAGGGAAGCACCCCCAAAGAGCTGGTCCACATGGGTTAGGATGAACTCCACAACAATGGACTGCACACGCACCTCCATGAATGCTGCTGTCCCATTGAAGCCTGAGGCCTCTATGTCCTTAGACCTGTAGAGATGCGGAGTTATTCTCTCTCAGTCTCAACACATCTTACTACTTATTCTTTTCTCTTTCTTTCTTTCTTTCTTTCTTTCTTTCTTTCTTTCTTTCTTTCTTTCTTTCTTTCTTTCTTTCTTTCTTTCTTTCTTGTCTTTTTTGAGACAGGGTCTCCTGGAACTCACTAGACCAGGCTGGACTCATAGAGATCCACCTGCCTCTGTCTCCCAAGTGCTGGGATTAAAGGCATGTGCCACCACGCCTGGCTCACACCTTACTATCTAAGTTCTTCCAGAAATATTTTATATGCTCCCTTGCTTGTCCTTAACCCCATCTCCACCGCCTAAAGCCACAGTATGATTCAAGTTTCAAATGCCACTTTCTTCAGGAAGATGCCTTGGCTCCCTCAGGATTAATCTCTACTTTCCCTGCATGCTTCCTTACACTGTGGCACAAGGCAGGCTATGAGAATTGTAATTCATAATGCTTTGTGCCATAGTGAGTGACATGCAATCCAGTTCCTGAATAAATTGTAAGACATTTGTTCAAAAAATGTTTGAGAAGGACCTATCATATGCCAGTCCCTGAACTCAGTGATATAATATAGGAAAACACAAAGGCCTTGCTTTTAAGAACTTTACTTGGGAGTCAGGCCTGGAGAGATGACTCAGTGGTTAAGAGCACTGAGTGCTTTTGCAAAGGACCTAGGTTCAGTCCCAGCAACCATATGGCAGCCAACAACAGTTGGTAGCTCCAGTTCTAAGGGATCCAATACTCTCTTCTGACCTCCTTGGACACTAGGCACATGTGGTGCACAGATATACATGCAGGTAAAATATACATACATATAAAAAAGCAAAAGTTTTTACTTCTTTTTTTTTTCGCTCTTTTTGAGACAGGATCTTCCTATAATGGGGCCAACCTGTGCTCTTAACCACTGAGCCATCTCTCCAGCCCCAATAAGCAATTTTTTTAAAATAAAGATTTTACTTGATCTCAGAGTAGACACAAATTAATGGACCTCAGACTACTTCACTACTTCTGAACTTTCCTGCTTCACTGAGTTTTATGAGACCACCCTCCATCCTTTTCCATATCTATTCTGGTATATCCTGCAACAGAAAGATTAGCCTCCTAGAAGCTAATCTCCCCCAGGATCCCCACACACTGCTCGCACATGTACCCACCTCAACAGATTAGGGGCCCACACGATTGCCAAATTTCGGGCATGCATGTTGGTTTGGGCACTAAATGAGGCCATGTGGACCAGGTGCCGCATAAGGAACTCCAGAGTCCTGCAAAAAGTGAGGCAGGGATCATACAAGAAACACTCTGAGCAGGAGCTGGGTTGAGACCCAAAAGCTGGGAGGGTCAAGCATGGCTTCTAGTAGAGAGACCAACTGGCAGTAGGTGGGGCTGGGGGTGTCCCTGGAGTACAGAGGGTAGAACCCCACACACCTGTAGTTTGGGATTGGGAGTTCGCGAAGCACCTCTAGGATCTTGACCAGGCGTTCCGGTTCTAATTGTACTGCCACTGCCTCCTGATTGGGGACAAGTGTATAAGGAGACATTGACTCAGAGATAGCCCCCTTACTTCTCAGAGCTCCAAATCAAACTCTCAGAAATAATCTGTGCTATATTCCACCTGGTCCCACCCTAATAGGGAAAACAGTCTCAGGCTGAGTATGGTGGCATATGCCTATAAGCCCAGCACTCTAGAGGCAGAGGCAGGAGGCAGCTTGGACTGCATAATGACGTGAGACCCTCATCTAAAAAAGGAGGGGGGCTAGGATGTAGCCCAGTGGCAGAGTGCTTGCCTAGCATCCACAAGACCATGGGTTCAATACCCAAAACCACAAGAAGAAAGCTTTAAATATGGAGCCCACAAAAGACTGCAGCTGAATCTTATTTCTGTCACTTAATAATCTTGTGACTTTGGGCAATTCACTGTTACTCCCTGCTTCAGTGTCCTCCTTGGCCCTTGGATGTACCAATGTTCCCACCCTGTGGTTGCTCTAAGGACTGCAGAGTTGTTTCAAGGTGTCCAGGAAGGCTTCTACCCACTCAGGCTAGTCTGGATGGACTGAGCAGGGTGTGGCTGCTATTCAGGGCCTCTTAGTGCTGTTGTCCTCAATAAACTGCAACCTCTTTTGGCAAGGAGACAGTGTTTTGTTATGTTGCTGGGCTGGGTTCCAACTCTGGGCTCCAGCAGTGATTCTGCTTCAGCCTCCAAAGTAGCTGGGACTTTGTTTTAAAAGTGTTACTCAATTCAGGATACCATTTTTACCATGTGGTTTTTTTTGTTGTTTATTGTTTTTTGTGTTTTTTTTGTATGTATGTGCGTGTTTGTGTGCAAAAGCTGTTTAAGATATAATGGCAGTTGATGGAGGGACATTCCTAAAACAGTTTTGATTTCTAAAAAGCATTCTTGTTCTCTTAAGTGTAGGGAAACTCTGGTCTAGGTGCTTTCCAAGGCTTTCCAGCTCTGACAACCTGCCCTTTACCTCCTAAGTCTTACCACTGTGCTGTGTGCAGTGTGTGGGCCTTAGGGGCAGGATACCATGACCAGAAAATGAAGAGAAAAGGGACAAGGGTTAACAGAGGTTGGTGAGGCTAGGAGGAGGATCTGGGGAGGAGAGATCTTTTCCCGGATTTCCCTGATAATGCTTTACTGTTGTCCAAGAGCACTGTGACTCTAGATGGCCTGTGACACACCTGGGATGTCAAAATTGAAGTGGTTGCCCTTGAACCCTGTCTTCCACCCTTCTGTTTTCCACCCTTTGTCTCTTAACTCACAGCAAACTTGTCATAGAGCCGGTAAGTGAGGAGGGGATCTGGCAGTTCTCTGAAATAGGCCTTGCACAAGGAGGAGACGCAGTGAATGTCCTGGAGGTAGACATCCCGCCGAAGGTCTGGCTTCCGCTCTGCCTCAAACTCCTGCCTGGGGAGGTGTAGAGTGGTCAGGAGTGGTAGATGTCAGGCAGTGGAAATATGGGGAGAGGTCAGAACTACAGAGGTAAGCTGCAGGTAGGTAGGGTCATGGGTGAACATATGTCAGAATTGAAAGGGGACCATTGAGATATACATATAAAAATATATACACACATATATACATTTACATATATATATTTGCTGGCATATTCATATATGTTTTTCCATAATCATCAGCAAATATTAGGCATTCTATATATTGATGTATAGATGTGAATGTGAATATAGGTGTGTTTATAAGGTAAGTGGATTTGTGCATGACCAACCAGGAGGATGCCAGAGATGTCACTGCAGTATAATTAGCAGTGAAGGGGTATGAAGGAGTCAGTAGAAGTGGGAAATGTACTTCTCAGTAAGTGTAAAATAGGACGGATATAATATTCTTCTCTCTCTCTCTCTCTTTTTTTTTTTTTTTGAAACAGGGCCTCCCTATATAGTCCTGCTGGCCGAGAACTCAATATGTAGACTAGGTTGGCCTCAAAAATCACAGAGGTCCACCTGCCTCTGCCTTCCAAGGGCTGGGATTAAAGGTTTGTGCCACCATGTTTGACCTGGGTGTAGCTCTCAAAACAAACATAAGCCTTCATGGCCTTGTTTGGATTAGCCAGCAATGATACCCAAAATACAAACCGCCAAAGGAAAAAAAATAGATAAATTGATTAACACAAATCTGCCTGAAGCAGGAGGATTTCCATACCAGCCTGGACTACAGAATAAGACTGTCCCCAAAAAAGGTGAAGTCTCATTTGGTAAAGTGCTTGTTGCACAAGCGTGAGGATCTGAGTTTGGATCCCCAGCACCCATATGAAAAGACAGGAATGGCTGGGCATGGTGGTACATGCCTTTAATCCTCACACTAAGGGGGCAAATGCAGATGGAGCTCTGTGAGTTCAAGGCCAGCCTGGTCTACATAGGGAGTTCCAGGCCAGCTGGGGCTACAGGGAAACCCTGTCTCAAAAAGACAGAAAAAAAAAATTACCACCATCACAAAAAGTAGAAGGAAAAGGAAGTGGAGGAGGACGAAAAAGAGGAGGAGGAGGAGAGGGAGGAGGAGGCAGAGACAATCAAGACAACCCACAGATTGGGGAGAAGATAACTTGTTGATCCTACATCTGATTAGGGTCTAGTGTTCAGAACATATAAAGAACTCTTCTTGTGACTCAATGATTTAATTTTTTTAAATCAGCAAAAGATTTGAATATGCATTTCTCAAAAGAATTCAAGTGAGTAATAAGTACATGAAAAGGTGTTCAACATCATTTACTACTAGGAAATACATATATAAATCACAATGACATATCAGTTCAGTCCCACAAGACGGCTACAATAAAAAGCACTGTGTAACAAACGTTGGCAGGGATGTGGAACAATTGGAACCCTCATGCATTTCTGGCAGGGATATAAATGATACAGTTGTTAAGAAAAACAGTTTGGCAGTTACTTAAAAAGTTCAACATGAAGTTTCCATATGGCAATTCCACTCTGAGGCATTTACTCAAAAGAACTGAACTGAAAATATGTTTACAAAACTTGTACATGTTTGTAGCAGAACTATGCATAACAACCAATAGGTGGCAACAAACTGAATAGCCTTCAACTGATGAAAAGACAAACAAAATGTGACATAGCTATACCAGAGAATTTTATTCATCCATAGAAAGCAATAAAATGCTGGTACATGCCACAACATGCATGAACCTTTAAAGCATTCTAAATGAAGAACCAGACTTACAAAAACACATACTGTATCATTCCATTTATATGAAATATTCAGAACAAACAGAGCCATACGGACAGTCAATTTGAAGTTAGGTGAAGAGGAAATGTGGAGTGACTTCTAGCGAGTACAGAGTTTCTTTGAAGGATGGTATAATGTTCTGGAATTAGTGGTGATGATTGCACAAGGTTGTGAATAAACTAACTAAAACCCACCGACTTGTACATTTTTAAACAGTGAATTTTATAGTATGCAAATTAAAATTATATTTAACTTTTTTTTCTTTTCTTTTTTTTTTTTTTTTGAGACTGGGTTTCCCTGTAGCCCCAGCTGGTCTGAAACTCACTATGTAGTCCAGGCTGGCCTTGAACTCATAGGGATCCATCTGCCTCTGGCCCCCAAGTGCTGGGATTAAAGGCATGTGCTACCATGCCCGGCTCTATATTTAACATTTTTTAAAGCTGACTGGGTATATTTGGGAATAGAGTATGTGTGAGAGTGTATGTGTATGAGTGTGTATGAGTATGTGTGTGTGAGCATGTGTGTGTGAGAGTGTGCATGTGTGTTTGTGTGTGTGTACGTGTGTGTGTGTGTGTGTGTGTGTGTACTGAGTATGTGTGTGTGAGCATGTGTGTGTGAGAGTGTGCATGTGTGTTTGTGTGTGTGTACATGTGTGTGTGTGTGTGTGTACGTGTGTGTGTGTGTGTTGGGAGAGAACTTGTATTCTCCACCTTGCCTGAGGAGACTTTAGAGCTCCTCCCTAGAACAGTACCTAGCAGCTGTTTCTTTCTCCGACTTCCCCTCACCCCTCCTCCTGCTGTGTGAGCATGTGTGTGTGAGAGTGTGCATGTGTGTTTGTGTGTGTGTACATGTGTGTGTGTGTGTGTGTACGTGTGTGTGTGTGTGTTGGGAGAGAACTTGTATTCTCCACCTTGCCTGAGGAGACTTTAGAGCTCCTCCCTAGAACAGTACCTAGCAGCTGTTTCTTTCTCCGACTTCCCCTCACCCCTCCTCCTGCTCTCCCCAACAGTTCTGACCATGACTCCATGGTGTCCTTGGCCATAGAGCCCATCCACTCTGTCTGACTCACCGAAGCTTCTGGATGTTAGAAGAGACCCCTGAGAGGCGGTAGATCCCATCCACAACTCCATACTCTTCAACAAACTCTGCACAGCTCCTTAGTACCTGGGGCACTGGAGACACAGATAGGCAGAGAAAAAAAGTCTATAAAGCTAAAGACTGGAAGGGGTCTGAGAAACGGAAGCATCATTGAAGAGGGTTCACTTATATTGAGGGCAAAGTTTATGAAATAAAAAGACTCATCAGAAGCTGGGCGTGGTGGCACACACCTTTAATCCCAGCACTTGGGAGGCAGAGGCAGGTGGATCTTTGTGAGTTTGAGGCCACCCTGGTTTACATAGTGAGTTCCAGGACAGCTGGGCCTAAAGGGAGACCCCTCAAAAAGACAAAAAAAAAAAAAAAAAAAAAAAAAAGACTCATCAGAAAGGCTGTTACAGGTGATCAGGTTGGACTTGCCAATCTCTCTAATATATCTGTCCCTTGGTCCTTGAGCCTCAGCATAGACCTCTGCACTGAAGAGGAGCCCACTGCTACTCTATACTATCCATTTCTCTCAGTTATACTTCTTTTAAGTGTTTTTTTGACAGGGTCTCACTATATAGCCTTGGCTGTCCTTGGATTTGCTATGTGGACCAGGCCTAGTCTTTGAACTCAACTCAAAGAGATCCACCTGCCTCTGTCTTTTGAGTGCTGGGATTAAAGATGTGAACCACCTGCCTGGATATTTTTTTTTTATTATGTGTATGTGTTTGTGCGTGTTGGGGGATATAGGCACATGAGTGCAGGTTACTGCAGAGATCAGAGGCATTGGATGCTACTGGATCTGGAGTTACAGAGGGTTGTGAGGCTCCTGATGTGGGTGCTGGGAACTAAACATAGATCCTCTGCAAGAGTTACAGACAGTTGTTAGCTGCCATGTGGGTGCTGGGACTCAAACCTGGGTCCTCTTTAATAGCAGCCAGTATTCTAACTGCTGAGCCAGCTCTCTAGCCCCAGTTTGCTTTACTTTTTCTTTTTAAAAATTTATTTATTTATTTTTATTTTGTGTGTATGAGTGTGTTATACATGCATGTGTGTAAGTGCACCAGTGTTGTGCAGTGCCCATGGAAGACAGAAGAGGGAGGGCATCAGATCCCCTGGAACTGGAGTTACAGTTGTTAGCCACCATGTGGGTGCTTGGATTCAAACCCAGGTCTTCTGCAAGGCCAGTGCTCTTAACCACAGAGCCATCTCTCCAGTTCCCTGTTTTTCTTTTAATATGTATGCATCCTTGTTGTTTGAGACATGGTCTTTATATCTAGCTCAGGCTGGCTACATACTTAAGATCCTCTTTTCCAGTACTGGGCTTATTGGTATGGCCTATCAAGCCTTGCAATACTCTCTTTGGAGTCAATTAGGTCTTGTATGGCTGGATCAGGTCTTATAAGAGGTTGTCATAAGCAAGGGCACTCCGTACTCTTGGTCCCTTTGATATGCAGCCAATTTGCTTTATATCTCCCTGTGATACACCCAGAGAGCCCTTGTCAGTATGTCAACATGTTCTATTTGGACCCTTCAACCACTAGAATCATGAATCAAATAAACCACTTTATAAGTTATTCAGCTAAGTTATTGTTTGTCTATCTGTCTGCCTCACTATGTAGCCCTGGCTGACTTGGAACTCACTATGTAGACTAGGCTGGCCTCGAACCCACAGAAATCTACCTGCCTCTACCCCTGGAGTGCTAGGATTAGAGGCCTGTGCCTCCACACTCAACTGGCTGAGATATTTTGCTGTAACAACACAGAACTAAAACATCTTATTCTCTTTTCTGGAAATACCCTCTTCATCTGCCTGGTAACTATTCATTCCTCAAAACACTCTAAGCATCACTGGGCAAAATGGCACATGTCTATAATCCTAGTTCCTTGGGGAGCTGAGGCAGGAGGATCATTTGAGCCCAGTAATTCAAGGCCATCCTACGACATAATGGGATCTCAATAAACAAAACAGGATTGTTGGGCCTGATGGCACATGCCTTTAATCCCAGCACTTGGGAGGCAGAGGCAATCGGATTTCTGTGAGTTAAAGGCCAGCCTGGTCTACATAGTGAGTTCCAGGACAGCTGGGGCTACAGGGAGACCCTGTCTCAAAAAGATTAAAAGAAAACCCAGGATCTTGGGAGATGGCTCCAAGGTTAAGCAAGAGGCCCAGAGTTCAGATCACCAGAATCTACATAAATGCTGGATGGGTGTAGTGGCCCAGCTTTAGACTACCTATATCAAGGGAGCTTTGGGCTTGATTGAGAGGTCCTTCCAAAAAGAGTAAATTGAAAAGTAACCAAAGAAGAGTCCTGATATCAACCTCAGGCCTCCACACACATATGAACACACATACATATGTGTATATATACCACATACACATAGGTGGAAAGAGAAAAAAAAACATCACCATCAATTCTGATCCTTTGCTTATATCTGTATTATAGTTCCCAAAGGCTTTTGCTCATCTCTGTATTATAGTACTTATATTTGTTATATGTTTGTGTTTTATATCTACACCTCCTGATAAATGGTAGTATCTTCTCAGTGTCTAGCACTGTGGTGAAATAGCAGGTACCCAATAAATGTTTGCTAGGTTATACAGTGAATTAATTGATCAGTTAAAAGAATAGCTGACATCTCTTAAGAGATTTAATCAGGGATATTGCCTATGACAAAACACTGGGACTTATTCACTGGAACTCACCAAAGAAATTCCTTCCATTTGTCAGTGTCAGAAAAAGCTGTCTTAGAAAAGTAGCTATATTTTCTCCCTAAAAGCCTTATGAGTTTCATGTGAATTTAACTAGTAGGTATTTCTAAGCCCACCTCTAGCAATCATATAGAATCACTCGATACAAATTTCTGGGTACTAATCATCTTGATTCCACTTTAAGCCAATTTCTTTAGTCATTCATTTTACGTGTTTGTAGTGTTAGGTTTTAGAAGTCATCCCAAACTTTTTATAGGATAGAAATATGGAATGAATAGTTAATAAACCCACCAACGACTTTCTGGCTGACCTGGAACTTGTTATGTAGACTGTAGACCAGGCTGGCATGAAACTCACAAAGATCTGCCTGCCTCTGCCTCCTGAGTGCTGGGATTAAAGCATATGCTTAACTACTACTTTTCAACTTGCTTCATATGACCTTTGTTTTCAGATCCTTTGTCCTTTTGCCTAGAATAGGCAAAACTTGGATGAGGCAAAGGAAGTCTCCAAGGTAAAAATTTTAAGGGTTACAAAAGTGAGTGGTTCCTTAAACTTTATGCCCTTGTTACCGCTCTTTACCTCACTTCAGTCCCAGCCTTGTGGATTACTGTCCATCCTTTCAGAACCTGTTTCCATTTGCCAGTACCCCTGTCATCAGTACTGAAGGAAAGATGAGGTGGCCCTCCTTGAAGCAACTGCTCTGCTTTTGGGTGTCTAATGCTACACCAATTCTTTTAGCCACCACATTATTCTGCTAATTTATAAATAATCTCCTGTCTGGGCCTGGTGATACACACCTGTACTCTCAGTTCTAAAGAGGCTGAGACAAGAAGATCATGAGTTCAAAGCCAGCCAGGGCTACATAGAAAGAACCTATCTAAAAATATAAAAAATAAAAATAAATGAATAGTCCACTGTCACCTAAACTCCTAGGTCCAAACCAAACCAAGTCTTTCCATCCTATTCATCTCAACTATTTTGAACCTCCAGAGCAGGTCCTTAAAAAGATTATGCAAGACTTTAAGGCGGCAGAGTCATAGAGGAAATGAATTGGTCAAGAGATGGGGGAGATAACAGGGTCAGAGATATGGGGGAGCTGGAGAGATATATCAGATAAATGAGGTCAGAGATATAATTTAGAGACAAGGTTGGGGTGATTGAGTCAAAGTGGCATTCTGAAGGATAAGGGTTGAATCAAGGAAGAAGAACTTACAGTGAACCTGAAACCTAAGCAAGGTATCAAAGCATATATTAGGGCTTAGAGAAGAAAGATTCATTTAAGGGCAAAGTGCTAGGGAAGAAGTCTGAAACAGAGCAGGGTTGTAAGAATGGGGAAAACCCAGATGATCTGGGGATACCAATTCACCAGAAATAGATGATCTCCCTGGTCTGGGCTTTCATTTTCTTGTTTGGTCTTGGGTTAAAGAGAGACACTGTCATCAACCAACCTCCCTCAGTTCTAACACTTTTCACCTCTCTGTACCGGGATGGATTGAGTGTGGGGAGGGATTCTCACTGCTGCTCTGGTACTCAAGATCCATCCCTCCACCCTTGGGCTCAAGTGAAGTTCAGGTGAGGGACAGAAAGTGCTTCTCACCTGCTCTGGGATCACTTGCAATTAGAACCCAGAAACCAGATGCTTATCCCTCTCGAGAGAATGCCTTTCACCTGCTGGAAATGCAGATGGAAGCCTGGAGGATCATAGCGGCGGCATCTAGGCTGTCTGTGGGTTTGCCAAGAGTTAGGAGGAGAACATCTTCCCCAACTAACTCATATGGTTCTCAGTCAAGAATCATTACCTAGTGCTGGCAAGATGGTTCAGGGCGTAAAAGGCACCAGTTATCATGACCTGAATTCAGTCTCTGGGACCCACATAGTGGAAGGGGAGAATTGACTCCTGAAAGTTGTTCTCTGGCCTTCACACATTCGTTGTGGTACATGCACCCACATACTCGTAAATGCACACAAATAAGAAATATGGCCTAGTGCTGGTACATAGTGATGCACACCTTTAATCCCAGCACTTAGGAAGCAGAGGCAGAGGGATCTTTGTGAACTTGAGGCCAGACCATCTGAGACTACAGGGAGACCCTGACTCAAAAAGACTATATCATAAACTGGAACTAGGGAGATGGCTCAGTCAGTAAAGGTGAGATGACAAATCTGATGACCTGAGTTTGATCCTCAGCACCCACGTTAGAAGAGGATCCACTCCTGCAAATTGTCCTCTGACTTTCATACCCCCCCACCCATGCACATGCAAAGTAAATAATGATAAAAGATTTTAAAATTTTAAAGTAAATTTAAATTTTTTTAAAAAGAATCATTATCTAGAGAGGAATGACTGTAAAGGAAGTCCATACAGCATCCACTCAGCCCAGTGAGATAGAGGAAGGCACAGAAAAACCTGCCTCAGCTGTTTAACACTCTTGCTTTGGGCCTGGGCTTTCCCTTAATGGAGGCCAGTAGGGATGGGGGCCCTCTGGGGGAGGAGAAAAGGGGAAGGAGATGTCTGGGGACACCAGGGCGGGGCTAAGAGCAGGAAATGAGCTGGGAACCACCATCACCCTCCCTCCACTGCAGGCACCACAGCCAGAGAAGGGGACAAAGAGGAAATGACAGATTGGGGTGGGGTGGAGTGGAGGGAGCTGTGCCCTTCTCTGTAAGGTGCTCAGTGTGCTGAAAACAAGCTGGGCTATACCGTCAGGATATCTTCATTCAGTTTCAAATCAAGTTAAGAAATGGTTTTGCATGACTACTGCATGCCAGACACAGTGGTCAGCCTAGTTTTGTCCCTGGTCCTGCTGGCTTCCAAGCCTGCTGTAAAGCAACTCAGGCGGGGAGCTCCTGGCAGTACTCAACACCCACTCTCCTTTGCAACTTCCACTTCCAGCTCAAACCAGGACCAAGGCCCTATCTTCCACTCTTCTCGTGTTCCTCGTATTGACAGTTTCTCCCCTGGTCCTCTACCTCAAACCTGGTTCTCCTTTGCACACTCTGAAGAAGTGGGCAACTCCTTCCCCATACCGTCCTGTGGCCCAGCAAGGGTGCAGAAGGGCTGGGTCCCTGTCCCTTGGTGCTGCTCTCCAGCTAGGATGCCTCCTTCTTCTCTCCCCAGGTTACATCTTCAGTCCTTCTGGGACGCCTCTGTCTCCTTTTATTTGGACCCAGGGCCATCTACTATCCCCTCAGTCACTCTTGTCACACTATCACATCTGTTCCCTCCCTCTGTCCCCAGTCACCATGTTCTGCCATCCTCTCACCTGTTTCATCCTCCCTCCTCAGGGATCCCTAGGTATTCTCATTCTCATCCTCATCAGCCATTCGTCCCCAAAAAGTTACACAAGGGAGCCTCTTAGCCTTCTTCTCTGAGCCACATTTCCTGTCTTGCCTGTTCAGAGAGCTCTTGGGTGGTGGCCCTGGGCCACTGCTCTTCCCCAAAAAGACTCAGAAGCTGTTTCTTCCCATCAGACCAAATCAAACTGGAGAAGCTTGATGCCCACCTAGTGCCCACCCCCCACCCTCAGCTCTGAGTTGGCCTCCTTACCCTCCTGGCCTGAGTGCTGCAGGTGCTCCTGTAAGTCGCACCCAAACACCTGTTCCTTGGAGCTGCCCTTCTTCTTTCCTCTCTGCCGAGACTTCATGGCCGGAGCCCCAGGGATCTGGCCCAGCCACCTCTGTCCCCCAAGACCTTTGACCTACCAGTCCCCCATTGGATCCCAATCAGTAGTTAGGCTTGGTCCTGCCCCAGGGGGGCTGGGTTCCAAACTAGGGGTGGAGGGCGGCCTGGGCAACAGACAGCAGCACTTGCCTCTGGGGTCCAGGGCCACACGGAAGTGGATATGGAAGAGGAAGCTCCCGGAACCCTGGCATGAAACTGTGTCTCGTGGCCCAGCCAAGCACTAGCCCTTCTTGCCCTGCACAGCTCTAGGGGGGCAGGAAGCTGTGCAGCTCTTCAAACCCGCTTCCTGTTAGAGCATCTTTGTAACCACAGGGCCTGGGGTGGGGGAGGTAGCTGACACTCACATCCTCATCCATTGCTGAGACTTCATCCATTGGTCAAAGGGAGGTGATGTCAGACTGGGGTGGAGTGATGGTGCCTAGGGTGTGAGCAGGTGACTGAAATTCTTAGAGACCAACATTCTTAGATGGGACAGGGAGACCTGAGGTTTGCCTGTGAAAAAGGCAGGAAAGGACCATGCAGAGCACACCCAGGATGGAGGAGACCTCTGATGGCCCTGTCACTTCAGTCAAGCCAGATTACTTCACTGAGCCTTAGTTTCCATTCCTTTGAAAATGAAGGACATAGACCGGTGACCTTTAAATTCTTCCAGCTCTAATCAGTCTGTGGAACTCATTTAACTTAAGTTTCAGTTTCTTTATCTGTAAAAAGGGTACACTGCTGTCTGCCTCACACAGCTGTTGTTAAGTTTCCAGCACAATAAAACTCAGAACACTTTGCAAACAAAGGCATTGGCTACCCCAAAAGGGGTCATGGCCCCACTCTCCAATCTGAAGACTCTCAGAATGGCTGAAGGCCTTGTGAAAGCCAGTTCTTTCCCTCTCCCTTGCCCCTACGTTGCCTGGGAGCACAGGAAGGATGGTGTTGAGACTCAGCATATGATACTTATGGCTTATCCAGTTCAAAGGGAAACACAGGAACCAGACAGAAAAGGTTTTATCTGTTTATTTAAAAACAGAATATCATTTTATATACAAATATATACACATATACATGAAATATACATACTAGGACCCCAGATCCTTGGGTTCTAGTAAGTCCTGGGTTGGTAGAAATAGCGAACAGGAGCCTCTTCTTTGGTCCAAATATCCAGCAAATTTCAGGCCACATAGGGTTTAGACACTAAATCTCAGTATTCTGGCCAATTATGTTTGGGCAGGTCAAAGAAAAATAAACATCTAACCCAAGCCTCCCACACAGAGAAAGTGCCATAAGAACCCTGGATTAATGACCCAGAAACTCCTGGGGAAAAAGAGTTTCCCCCAGCACCTCCTTCCCCTCACCTGAACTTCCACCCTCCCTCAATTTGTAATCCCTACTCTCTGCCCGCTACACAACTGAACCAGGAGCCCTTGACACCAAGTCCCACCAACTCCTCAAAGGCATGAACAACTGTGAACACAACTAATACTACTACTACTAATACTACTACTAATAATAATAATGAAGGTAGGGGAAGAGTTGAGGGGCCAGGGAGCCAAACATCCCATCTCTATCTCCCTTCCCAGTGTTCACCCCTCACTTCCCTGGTTCCAGACTCTACCTGCTGTCAGCTCCCTCCTAAGAGGCTCCTTAGATGAAGATGCCTTGGAGGGGCACCTTTCACAACCACAGGAATTAACCCCTGATGTGGGATCAGCATGAGGTCCAGCTTTGCTGAGTGTCTGTGTAGGCTGGCCTTGCTTAAACAAGTCCAATAAAAAGCATGCAAGTCTGTTTTTTGTTAAAATTTTTTTTTTTTTTTTTTTTTTTTTTTTTTTTAATTTTTGTTTCCCTCTGATTAAGGGAATGTGAGCAGAACTCAGAAAACTCCCTTGAAGGTTAATTTACAGGAACTATGTACATGCAGCAGGCCCACAGGCCACCAGAGGGCAGAGGGCTTCTGTAACAGTTTGAGCCTCTGGGAAACCCCTGGGTGACTGCTTCACACTAGCCCCCATGGCTCCCAAGTGGTTAGGAACACGGCTCCCCCACTTGGAAGGTCAGATTCTAGCTCCAGCTATGCCCGCACACCTGGATCTGGCCCACAGTCTCCACCTCTTACCTCCAGCCTCTGCATCACTAATACTGCTCTGGGGTCTGAGGAAAACACCTGCATCTGCAGGCAAAGGTCACATACAACCATACTACTCACAAAACAAACTCTAACGGTGTTCTATACACAGCCACATTCACTTGGATTATTAACAGGGCAGCACAATGCACACTACAAAGAGTTACCCCTCCATGTGCACACAATCCACGAATGGTTACACACACACACACACACACACACACACACACACACACAGTGACCTACACACAATGATGGGAGGCACTCAACCAGTAGAGGCCTCCCAGTGAACAGAATGGTTGGAGGTAAAGGTCTGAGCAGTCTAGGGGGAGGGGGAAGCATCTTCCTAAAGAAATGCAGGCATTTAAGGAGGTTCCCCCAAGAAGAGCTGAAATCCCCCCATGTAAGCAGAAGAAGCCAGGTCTAGGGGAGGGAGGCAGGCCTGGGTCAGACCAGGTGCCCCCGCCCATTGATATAGATGCCATTGCCCGTGGGCTTGGCCCTCAGGGTCCCATTCTCCTGAACAAAATGGTTCATGGCCTGTTTGATGCCTTCATCCTGATCGTCCTCCTCTTCTGTCCGCCCTGAGCCTGGAGACAGCAGTTCAGTCTGTGTTTCAATCTCCCTCACTGTAGTCAATGTGGAGTAGCTGCGGCCCTCTGGCTCTTCACTCTGGAGACAAGGACAGAGGACAAGTCAGGATTCAAGGCCAAATAGGCAGATACAGTGGGGTAGGGTCGGGTTGTGGTGGGGTCAAAGGTCAGGTAAAGTAGGGTAATGGCTGTCCCAGAGGCATAGGGGTTTGGAAATGAGGAGGGCCAGGAACAAGTGTTAGATATGGGGAAGGAGGGTCAGAGAACAAAGTCATAGCAGAGATGCAGGGGTGGGCCATGTGAACCAGGGTGAGACCCAAGGGACTGGTACAGGGGCTGCTGTAGCACCATATCTGGGACGAGGAGAGGGGCCTGAGGAGAGTAGTGGGGACACCGGTGGGGCCAGGGGGGCCTCACCATCACAGAGCAGCTACTGTTGTCCTTGAGACTATCAGGGTGGCCCTTGGCTCTCAGCCCTACACTCTCCTCCGGCTGCAGGGGCCCAGACATGGGGGAGGAGTTAGAACAGAGCTCAGCCTCCTCCCCTCAGCCTCTTCGCCTCTCATCCTTCACCAGCTTCCTCCCTGATTGCCCTCCCCTCAACCCCATAGGTCAATGTCTCCCTGACACAATGTCCTCATTCCCCCACTGACACCCACAAACCCACCCTGGAACTAGCACTGATAGTGGATTCCTAGAGCAGCCCCCAGGTCAGTGCTTAGAGGGCCTTGCAAGGAAGAGTCCTAGCAGACCCAAAGCAGCTACCACCACCCCCCAGCCTCAGCCCAGCCATAGCTCTGAGTAGCCAAACCTGGTGGAGGGCTATGCTTTTACATATGGAAAGAACCCAGACCCAAGCAAACCTGTGTGGCCATGCCCTACACATGTACCCAACCTTGGCACACACCTGGATCCTAGGGTCCGTGTGATGGGAATGCAGCCTTCGAATGGAGTTCTCCCTGGTCAAGGTCAGCTCCTCCTCACTGGGAAAGACACCCCCTTATCAGGAGTTGAGGGCAGTGGCAGCCCCCCAAGGTGACTCTAAGCCTGGCCAAGCCTAGGAAGTGGCTAGAGGGTATGGATGCCATGCTATCCCTGCAAGTATGAGTGTGTGGCTGCAGATGACAGTGTGCTGAAGAGCATGGGTGTGCCACATGAGTGCTCAAGTGTGCATAGTAGGAATATAAATGTGACCTTCTCTCAGGCATAGGTCTCTCTTCATCTATCTGTAGTCCATGCCCCCCAAGCTTCTTCACTTCTTCAAAGACTCTGCCCACCTTTGGTCCATAAGCTGTCTAGTTATTAGGCTACCCAATCTCCTTTGTTTTGGCTCATCTCCTTCTTGATTCAATCCTCTTTGTTCCCAGCTCAGTTCTACCCACTTAGGAGTAGGTAGTACTCACTATTTCTGGGTCATCTGCTGTGCCTTTCGTCGATGATATCGGGACATGAGCACCACCACCACCACGAGAAGGCAGAACAAGAGCGCAGCAATCACACCCACTACTACCACCGAGGCTGACACTAGGTCCACCTGCTTCCCTGGGTCCTGAGGGTCTGCTGGAGACAGTCCAGTGTCTGAGGTGCATGCCCAGATCCCTCCCTGATCCACTCCAGACCCCACTTCTACCCATGCATTATCTTCACAGAACATATCCACAGCCACCCACTTAGCTGTATCCTCTCTAAAATATACCATCCATCACCCCCAAAGACATTCTTTCCCATTTCCTTCCCTGTCTTGCCTCTTGGTACCCACCCCCTGGCTCTGGACCCAGGACCCTTGTGTTTGTCTCCCCAATCACTGTGCTTACCAAGAACATCCACAGTGACCTGAGAATCTCTCGAAGAAATTTCATTGCTGACATGGCAGACGTAGATGCCACTGTGCTCAGTGGTCAGTGGGGGAAAGCCCAGAGTGTCCCCTTTCATTTGCACCCCACTAGGCAGAGGCCCATCCAGCCTGCAGGACAGGGAAGCTGAAGGGTACCTGCTGGGGCGAGCTGAGCCTGCCACCACCCAACATGCCCAGGCAACTCTTCACCCCCTTCCCCCATGACGTCACCCAGAGCCTCCGGCTGTTCCCACGGTGCCCCACCCTCCCCTAGGCAGGTCTAGGCAGAGGCCCTTTCTCCCTGCCGCCCAGCCTGACCCGGGAACCCACACACACACTTGGGGAAGATCCACACGCGTGCCATCCCACATGCTCCCACAGGCATCACGTCATCCAGCACTGGGTAACAGGTCCACATGCTATAAAGTCCACACACAGGACACTCCACTCTAGCTGGGCTCAGAGGTACTTGGAAAGTGTGACTGCATGCTCCAACACCCATGATGTTGCGTGGCAAAGTAAACAAACCTAGCCTTAGGCACAAGGCCACATGCATCACTCATATGCCCACTCATATGCCTGTCACAGGCTCACACACATGTGCACCCTACCCCTCTCTGATTCTTGGACATCCCTGGAACAAAGCCAAAAACTCTTGAGGGAATGGGTAGAGGGTGAGTGTTTCTGAGGTGCTGGCAACATTGAGGTAGTTACAGGAGTATTGGTGTAACATCAGTTACAGCCAGCTGTTTTTTTGTCTCATGCACTTCAAGCACTCACAGATATATAAAATATTAATATTTAATAGTTATATTTCATAATTTAAAAGTTAGGAAAAAAGATAATATTTGTTTGTTCTCTATGGGTAGCCATATATTCCCTAGAACAAGCCAGGGAATAATAATTTGGTGATTATGCACATTTTTGTATTGTCTGAACATGTGTCTCATCTAGAATTCAGAATATGTAGTCCCAGCCCATAATGAGTACATCCTGAGAGGGAAGGACCCTAGTCTAAGCTAGGCCCTTCTTCGAGCCTAGGCCCTTACCGTGTCCAGTTGTATGAGGGAGGGGGCTGTCCTTCACTCAGGCACTTGAGTGTAGCGCCTTCTCGACCAACATGCCACAGCTTTTGGTCCTCAAGGCCCCTCACAGAGGCTTCAGCAAGGACTGGAATGAGGGGCAGCAAGAGAAAGAATGAAAATGATGCCTTAGTTGTTATTCCTTGAGGCCCGTCCCCGCTGTGGAAACAACCTGCCTCTGCTCTTCCTCATCTGTTGCCATAGCTCACCCAGCCCCACCTCATTGACAGTTCCTGGCTGTCATGGCTCCCTCTCCTGTCTAAGCTTAGAGTCTATATTGGTTTACCTGTGCCATGAGCCCACAAATCCCTCAGGGTAATTGTGTGTCACACCTTTACTTGATCTCCTGTGGCGCCCAGCATAGTGCTAGTCATAGAACAGGTGCTCAGTAAATGCTGCCAGATTCTTCAAAGGCCTAACAATCTCACTAGCTTATTCGTTTCCTTAGCAAATATTTATTAATTTCATACTTTGTGCCAAATGCTAGTGTAGTTTGAGCTTGAAATCTAATGCTGAGAACATGCTATCCTTACTGAATCCTCCTGTGATTTAAGATCTATGAGATGCTTTGCATTCATGACTGCTAATTCCCATCACAATCCTGTAAAATTGCTATGATTATGCTCATTTGCTGACAAAGAAAATGAAGCCTAACAAGATTAAATAACAGTTGGTAAATAGCAGAATGAGGGCTTGTCCCAAATATGTTTCCAAACCTTAAACTTTATTTTGCGAAACACTTTCAATTCTATGTTTATATTTGATTCTCCCAACAATGCTATAAAACAAGGCAATCTCTCTATAATGACAAGGACCCTGAAGATGGAAAGACCTCAGTGATCTTCCTAGGATCTTTAAGTTGGGCTCCAAATCTTCTACTTCTGGACTATACTCTGGCCTCTAAGACTCAGGCTAACCCTCCTGACATGGCTCAGAGCCAGTGTCTTATCAATTCTTTCAGAACCTAGGGAGTCTCCCTACCCATACATCCAAGCACTCACAGGCCACTTGGAGGGTGAGGGTGATTCTTTGGTCCTGGAGCAGGCCAGGATGTGACACCACACAGGTAAGTGGCTGTCCATTCATGCTTCGGCTAGGCACCAGTTGAAACTCTGAAGTGACAGCAGCTGATCGGGAGTGCTTGAAGGAACGACTGGACGTTACGCCTTTGACTTCCGTGTCCCAGGTCACGCTGGGAGCTGGGCTGCCCTCAGCAGTGCAGGAGGCTGCCAACGTCAGGCCCTGGCCTTCTTCTAGCGGTGGACCAGGATTCAATGAGGGTAGAGGAGGCACTGTGGATGAGAGAAGGGGAGGTCAAAGATCTGCACAACCCCTATCAGGAGGCCCAGCTCCTTCCCATTTCAATCTTAGCCAATTATAAACTTTAGGCACCTTTTCTTTCTCTTATTTCACCAATAAAGGTACCAGATAAGTGGCAGAATTTCAGGTGATTTTGCATCTTTTTCCACTGTTATTTCTTACAATGTGAAAGGGTCATTAAAAAAAAAAATTAAAATAAGCCAGGTGTGGTGGTGCACACCTTTAATCCCAGTATTTGAAAGGCAGGGGCAGGAAGATAGAGGCCTGGTCTACAAAGAGAGTTCCAGGCCAGATGGGGGTTCAGGGATACCTTGTCCCCCCCCAAAAGAAACAAAACAAAAGCTAATTAGATACTATCTATATAATAATAATAATAATAATAACAACCACTTACTACATGCCAACTATCATGTTAAATACAAACGTTATCTCATTTAATTCTGTCAACAAACTAGTAAGGCAGGTATTATTTTGCCTGTTTTTTAGATGAGGAAACTAAAGCTCAGGGAGTTTCAATGATTTGTTCCAGGTCATCAGCTCTTAGATGACAAAGACTCAAGTCATAGATTTACACTCAGGTTGTTTTGGTGCTAGAGCACGCACGTGTGTGTGTGTGTGTGTGTGTGTGTGTGTGTGTGTGTGTGTGTTGTGTTTTGACTTTTGAGACAAGGTCTCACTGTGTAGATCAAGTTGGCCTCAAACTCTCCACCCTCCTGTCTCAGCTTCCTGAATGATGTGGTTATAGCTATGTGCCATCATGTCTAGCTTTTTTACACTCAAATGTTTTTTCTCCAAGGCTGATGTAACTAACTTGCACAAAGACAAACCAAAACTGTGAAGAGTTTTAATTCTAACTTCAAAATATTAATAGTCCAATGACAATGGAAAAGACAAGTTGACCATAAGTCCAGGTTGACCAGAAGTGCCCATGGTGCAAAGGAGTGGTTTAAAAGGCAATTGTGGGTTCAGACCACATTCACTGGAGACCCAAATCAAGGATGGTATTAACCCCAGTATTCACATATACCATATCATAGCTGGGCTTCATGTCCACACCTGGATCTCACATTTTAAAACCATAGAGCCTGGGACGGTGAAGGAAGTTGAGTTAGTGTCTTTTACGGAACAGTGACAAGAACAGTAAGTGTAGCTTGGAAAAGAGTAGATTTGAGTGGAGGTTGGCAAAGGCTCTCTGTGTTTTTTTGTTGTCCTTTCATGCTTGTGTGTGTGTGTGTGTGTGTGTGTGTGTGTGTGTGGTCTTTTTGACAAACCCCTATGTAGACCAGGCTGGCCTTAAACTCACAGAGATCCACCTGCCTCTGCCTCCCAAGTGCTGGGATTAAAGGCGTGGGCTGCCATGCAGGGCTGCACTCTGCAGATCGGAAGAGAATAAGTCCGTGCCATTTCATTCCAGAAGGACAAAGGGTCACAGAGGCAGATTTAGGGCATCAGAGAGAAGAGCTTTCTAATATATGGACTAGTCTCCAACTTTGGGGGTTTTGGAATTTCTGGATTGGGTGGGAAGAGGGACTGGATAGCTCTCCTTCACTCAAGGACCCCATCTTTTATGCCTGTTCTGCCTCTGTCCCATCCATCTCTGCAGTTCCTATCTCTGCTTCTGACTGCAGCTTCTCCCCTCCATGACCCTGACGGAGCCTTGTCCTGGCCGCCCCGCATACGCACAGCAGTCCTGACCATGCCCAGCTGGCCCCACTTACCTAGAACGCGGAGCCGCATGCGCGCCTGGAAGCTGCCAGCCGGGAAGGTGCTGATTCTGCATTCGTATTCGCCCTCGTCTGCTTGAACAGCATTGCGCAGGAGCACGGAACCGTCCAGAGGGTCCCGTGGGGGCGGTGGTTGCTCCACGCGATCCTCATAGCCAGGGTTCACATGAAGCCCGTATTCGGAGTGCAGTATGGCCAGCCTTCGGGTGCCCTCGTTTGTGTCCACCCGAGCCCATGCCACCTGCCCCACCTGCTCATCCGGATCCCCTCTATAGAAGCAGGGCAGTTTTGCGTCCTGGCCCAGCACTACTGTCACCACATCCGAGGTTTCCAGTTCGCCTGCGGGGCATCGACCTGCAGGGGGCAGACAGAAGCAGCCAGGGTGAGGGGCCTTGCCAACCAGGGAACACATTCATAATGATAATGACAGCAAAGGCAGCTGGAACTCCTGGAGTTTTGTGCTTGCAAAGCGCATTCTGTTCATTACCTCATTAGATCCACACATCTCAAGAGGTAGGCGTTTATTATGGCCATTTAACAGATGAGGAAACTGAGACCCAGAGAAAGGAAGTGGCTTGCCTAAGGCCACACAGATGAATTATGGAAGACTCGCCCTCTTGCAGCCTAGGATCCTATCTGCGCAATTGCAAGGAGGGAAGATATAACAGAACCAAGACCCTGCCCTCAGGGAGCTCATAGTCTTCAGGGAAATGGAATTTCTGCACACAGATACAGGGAAACCAAGGACAAATTTCACACAAGGTTCAACCCACCAAAGGTGTAAAAGTGAATGCTTTCAGAAAGTATGGTAGGGAGCCACAGGACCTGGGCAGAACCATTGATGCCTGGAATGGAGCATGTAGGGAGGGTAAGATCCATCCTGCCAGACCCTTGGGAAAATTCTTTTCATGGCTTGAAGATGAGAGACCTGGATTCCCAGAGAGAAGGCGGTATTCCATGTGGGAGGAATGGCATGAACTGAGGTTCAGGGGCAGGAATGAGCAAGTCATTGAAGAAAGGCCTAGGTCAGGGGCCCAGAGAGATGAGGTCAGGTCAGACACAGCAATGGGGTCGAAATGTTGAGCCAGAATCACAGGGCCAAGGACAAAAAGACTTTGCTCTTCCATTGAGAAGCTGTAAGGAACATTCAGAGGGGCTGGAGAGATGGCTCAGCTGTTGAGATCACTAGCTACTCTTGCAGAGGACCCAGGTTTGGTTTCCAACACCCATGGGACAGCTAACAACAGTCCTTAACTCCAGCTTCAGGGTATCCAACATCCTTTTCTGGTCTCCTCAGGCATTGCATGACATGGGTACACTTACATACATGCAGGCAAAACACTCAAATAAATAAATAAATAAATAAATATTTTTTAAAAAGAAGCAGAGATTTTGGAATCAGATATATCCATTATATAACCTGATGTGCAAATAAAGATCCATTTCTTGCTCTCATGGAATCTGCGGTCTGTCTGGGAGGAAGAGGTGCATATGATGAATAGACAGATATATAATGGTGATTTATTTATTTATTTTCTTTCCTTCCTTCCTTCCTTCCTTCCTTTCTTTCTTTCTTTCTTTTTCTTTCTTTCTCTTTTCTTCCCTTCTTTCTTTTCCAGAGTCTCACCATGTAGCCAATCAGGCTAGCCTCAAACTCATTGTCTTCCTACTTCAGTTTCCCAAGTGCTTGGATTACAGGCTGTACCACCACACCCGGCTTGCAGTGATGGTTTCTGATTTAGCTTTCGGTGGTGTGTTGCTGGCTAGTTGTGGGATGGGGGAGTTACGAGGATGGGCTTCATGCATAAGCTGGGTAGAATCAGGAGGCCTGGGAGATCTAGAAAGGCATTATAGGTATAGGATCAAAGTAAGCAAACACCAAGGAAGCAGGAAAGGCTGGCTGGTTCAGGAAGCAGAGAGGAGAGGACCCAACCTAAGGCAGGGTGTGTGTGTGTGTGTGTGTGTGTGTGTGTGTGTGTGTTGAGCAGCAGTGGAAAATATGTCTGGGGTAGGGTGGAGTCAAATTGTCCAGGCTCTTTCATGCCAGGCAAAGGTATTCAGATTTGGTCAAGAGGAAATGGAGGGAGAATCACTGAAGCTTCCTTAAGTAGCAAGTGGCATGAGACAAGTGATAATGTGCAGTATGAGTAGAAAATAGGCATTAGGAAGAAACTGACGAGCAGATACTCAGTAGGAGGCTGCAGCCCTGGTAAGATGGTACTGGGCAGAGAGAAGGGGACATTTGATACAGATTTGGTCACTGACTAAAAGAAAGATGACTGGGGCGACTCAAAGACAACTGGATTTCTAAGATAAGTAACTTATGAAGGAGATAGGGCCTGGGAAAATCTGTGGTTATAGAGAAATAAACATAAAACCCAGGGCCAGGGGCTAGATCAGAGCAGAAGAGTGCTCTGAGATGGCAAGAGCTCCTTGCCTTGGAACTCCCAAAGGGTTATAGTCCCTGCCTCTACTCAGCACCCCACACACCCTGTTGTCTGTCACCTTTGCTCACACTGTACCCCTGGAATGCTCTCCTCCCTATGTCTGGTCGCTCCTACTCATCGTTGTCTGGAGAACTCCTACTCATGCCTTAAGACTCTGCTTAGGCATCATTTCCTCCTTGAGTCCTCCCTGCCCCACCTCAGGCAGCTTTGGGTGCATGCCCTACCTCTCTGCTCCCTGGCACTCTGTTTTTATCCTAATCACAGCACTTTAACCCATAGATTATATTTGCTGTTTTCTTGTCTGCCTTCCCCATGGCATTGAGTTCCATAGAGTAGAAACAGAGTCACATATCCCATATGAAAACATGATTTCTGACTTCATGCTCAATCAATGGTATGTGGTCTCCATTCTTGCCACATAACTAGAGCTTGATGAATGTTTATAAACTGACTGAATAGATGAATGAGTGAAGCCAGGTATGGTGGCTTATACCTGTAATCCCAATATTTGTGAAGGCACAGACAAAAAGATCTCAAGTTCAAGGCCAGCCTGGACAACAGGGAGACACTGTCTCAATCCTCCCACCCGCAACCCCAAAAGAGCGTATAAATGAATGGGCAAATGAACAAGGGAGATAGGCAGAGGAAAGGAAGAGTCGAATCAGGAGGAATGCACAGTCCCTTAATTGAGTTGGGTAGGGCAATTGTTGACATGGCAGCCCTGGAGTGGAGGCTGGATAGGCTGGCTATCTGGGTCCACTGCCAAAAGGAACACCTTTGAACTAAACAAAGGAAGAAAGGGATGGAGAGAAGCAGGCATGTAGGGAGGAAGTGAAGCATGGAGTAGAGCAGAGGATTCCAGTGAGGCAGAGTTGGTCTTGTGGCCTTACTAGCAGGAGTAGAGGGAGGGAGGATGCTGCTGGGAGTTGGGAGGGCCCAGACTGGACAAGACAGACCTGCAGGGCCAGATACCAGGGCCCTGACCTGCCTAAGCTGATGTTCGACCCACCCAGCCCAGTCTGGGAGTCCAGCTAACCACTTGCACCCCTCCCAGGCATCTCCTTCTAGCACTGAAGGGAGCAGGACTGTCAAAGAAGGACTAGAGTGGGCTTAGAATATGGGCTTCCCAACACACTTTGCTGCAAACAGTATTGTGGATGGAAGTCACAATGATGTGGACACAGCGCACAGAGACCCCCAGCCCTACGCTACTAGAGACAGAAATCCTTCTAAAGACTATCCCTGGGACCATATATGATGGCATATTTCCCATCCTCCCTATACTTGCCACCTGTCTTCCCCTCACCATCACAAATCACCGCCCCGCCCCCAATATCTTAAGGCACAGCAGGAATTGGATACCCATAAGTCTGAGTCTCAGTTCTCCATGCCCCTAACCTGTGAGTCGAAGCCCCAGCTTTGCAGAATGAAGAACCAGAGTGAGTACAACAGGAAAGTTCCTTTGGGATCTTTGGCAGCCCCCCCCGTCCCCCCC